TTGGGCGTCTTGTACTCCCTGGAATGAAACTAGTAATTCTTATAACATAAACCACAGTGTAATCTAATATATACATACATGTGCCCTGACAGGGGGCTGATGATGTGCTTACAGGCCGTGGTCTGCTCTTTGTCCAGCAGATTCATTGGGCTCATTATGTCCTTGACACTTCGTTACCTTACCTGTCAGGTACTCGCCGACGGGGTGTCGCCAGACACCGCCCCTGCAGTGCACATTGTGCTGTTGACCTCACCCAAGAAAACGACCATGAAGGTAGGCATCTTGGGCCCAGATGGAACTAGAAGGCGTACCGTCATACACTGACCTTGCTTGTGCACCTGGCATGCAGCATCCAGGACGACTCACCCATAAGTTGCCATCTAAAGTTATTTGTCCCTTATGAACTAGGAAGATCAGAATGAAGGACTGTCACCCCTCCCTCCCTCGGGCTGCAGGAGATGAGGAAGGCAGTAGCTGTGACTTGGTACATGCCTTTCTGGGAGCTTAAGGAGCTGCTTGACTGCCGCAGGTGCTGGGTGTGGGACGGGTGGTGTGGGAGCTAGGCCCTTAACTAAACTGCACTTGTTGCCAATTGTCCCGCGTGTAAACAGTAAAAGTTGTTACTTGCTTTCCCTCGCACCATAAATGTGCCCGCAGCAAGATGTATAGTGCAGTGCCAGAGGCAACTGTGGAGGAACTCTACACTTACTATGGCGGTGTAGCACGGTATGTGCTTGAGCAGCCGTTGAAGAACCCCAACTGGATGTTGTCTAAGCTGCAGAAGCCACTGATCAGCGCCATAGATGCAAGCAACGTTTCTCAGGTGAAGCACTGTAGTGTAGCTAGTCCTCTGTCTGAGCCTCATGTCATTTAAGGTCGTTGCCCAGTTTTCGCCTGCATTGCCTGAGTTTTGATGTTGATGATCCTTCTATCCAGTGGAAACTGATTCTGTATGTTTGCATTGCTGCTGAGCTCTTGTGTCCTTCCATGTTCATATTGCTGCAGATATCTCGTTTCTTGGCAAGTTGTACCTGCCTTTCACCTGTAACACACCTATGACCTGGCCTGCCTCCCTGGTTGCTCCCATCACGATAGGTTCAGTTGGCCATTGCGTGATCCATATTGTGGTTGACGACAAGTTCGAGGTGCAGTACCTAAACTTTGCTACCAAATGGGTGGCTGTCGAGTTTGCCAAACGGGCATGGAAATGTGAAAGGGGGGAATTGATATCTCTGCTAAATGGCAGCGAAGGTGTTAAAGGGCTACCTCTTTGAGGCAGTCATGCATGCTGCACTGGCGACTGGCGGCAAGTTCGATGTGTTGCCATTGGACCCGAAGACTCTGGAGCGGGGCAAGGAGGAGAAGCTGGATATCCCGGAATGCAAGCAGTATAACATCTTCACAGACAATGAGGTCCATGGTATGATGAGCACTAAGATGGACACATACTTGAGGCCCAAGTCCTCCAACTTCCCCGTCATTGATGCTCTTATGGTGCCGGCAATGTACCTTTTCCAGATGACTGAGTCAGCTATGAAGGAAATTAATGCTGATGACCTCGAAGACGTGTTCAAGCGACTCGGCATCTCTGCTCCGGGCCAGGAGGGCCGCCAACCCAGCCTTTACTTTGTGGTGGATCCTAGCATCTACAACAAGTTTAAGGTGCGGGCAGGAACGAAGAAGAGGAAGGCCTGTGAGGAGCGAGAGGCTGCCTGGCCGCCCGACCCCAAAAAGCATGAGCGGTCAGCCAACACCCGGTTGTACATTCTGCGTGGCTGTAGCAGTTGCTCACCTGGCGGGTCGACTGGATAAGCGGAAGCGTGGTGTTGGCTGTCCTCGCCGGAGTAGGAATAAGTCCAACCCAGCGGCAAGCACTAGCGTACATAGACATGTATGAAACAATCAGAGACGGCGGCAGTGGAGTCTTGAACTCCGAACACCTAGTAGATGTGATACGTCAGTGTCTGGCCAGAGCACCCCGCCCGGGTAGCTTATATCTCGGCCTACCTGCCGGAGATTCCCTACCACGGTCTTGCCGTACTAGGATAATGTTGGTGGGGCCCAGGGCCCCAGCCCGTTAGGTTTGCTTACGAACAACTGTCATGTTCGATGCATGTGACGTGGCTCGTAACATGTACAAAACTTGAGTCGAATCATGAACGAATTAACAATTATTGTTAAAAGTAATCGTTGAAATATTCTAAGGGAAATGTAGCTTGCTACAGTGGCATTGATAGCATGAAGTGAAGGTGTCATGCACATGTACTAAGACCTGCACAGCAGCACCTGATGCATCCTCACCGCAACAATTGTTGTGCTGGGTGAAGGGACAGCTTTGTGGACACCTTGGACCTATGGCCACGATCTTCATGTTTTGTTGAGCTACTGTGTGCGAGCTACTGTCCTTATTGATGCAGTGGTAGTAGCCCCTTTCGTTAGCCATGGAATGCTGCTGATGTCAATTGCTAGTTGGTTAGGCAAGCTGCGGGGTTGCCCAAATAGGCAATCTGGTGCAGTTTCTGAGGGAAGTGTCTGCTAGGTGTTTTAGTATGTACTGTTGTGTTGGGTTGGGCAGATGAGTAAAAGTGTGCACATGTTCAGATGGCTGCTGATGACTGGCAGTATGTAGGTATCAAAATGGCATGTAATGTAGTGTTACAGAGTGGGAGGCTTCTGGGCCACTTTATCACATTGTCAGTTCTACGATTTATCACCTTATAGCACCAAATGGCATGTGTCACTGCGTTTTTTTACTGGTGTAACCAGTACTTGCCAGTATCTAATCTATTGTATCACAGCGGATGAATATTTCTCATCCTCTGACCCTAGAGAATGCATAGGTTCCGAACTGTTCTGAACCATGTCACCCCAACAGTCAGCAGGTGCACCAACCGGCAACAAGATGTGTCGTTCCTAACTAAGCCAACACACGGTAGGGCTCCTGTCTAATAGGCCACTCATATACTCGTACACAATGCTGCACAAAGTAAGTACAGATCACATTCTGGGGTTTGAAGCCGTTCCAGGAGTTCGTCTATCCCCACATATTCAAACTCGAATTAGATGACATTGTAGCACTGCCCATATGAATACACAAGTTGTGTAACACGGTATGACAGGTTGTGTCTGCAGCCCTACACCCTGGCTGTCACCAAAGGGGTTTGCCACCTCATCATATGACGCCTTGCAAATGCAAATTAAATAAGGAAAACATCTCGCAATGGAAATATTGCAACAGAGGGCCGACAGGATAATACTGATGCCAGTTTTTCTTGCGTCGGTCCGATAAGGTGCAGCTTTCATACCGCAGATGCTGTTGTGTGAATGTCGTACACGGCCTGAGCATCCGACAGCATGCAGCATCCGACTACCTACAAAACGATATGGACGGAGGTCCTGCAGTTGAAAAACTAAAACTCAAAAATGGCATGAGGGTTTTATGGTTTTTTCAAAAACATCCCCCTTCCCTCGCGATCAAAGATTCGAGTCAGTTCTTGCAAAAAATGATAAGCATACTGTTGAAATACGTTATTCATGGCCAAATGTCGGCATGATCAACGAGCTTTGTGGCGGGCTCAAGGAGGGAAGTTGAGGGAGCGATGTGCGATAGATGATATTGAGGTCTTCAGGGAACACTTTGCTGCGCTATAAACGCAAGTGTAGGGGAGACGGGGCCTGATGGTGCAAAACCGGCTTTTGAACTTCATAAACTTTGGGCCAGTTCCTAGAGGGGCAGGAAATGGCGGGTCATCCCACTCGGTTTTGGGCAGGACTGCAAAGGCAGCAGAAATCCTAGACCCCCCCCGCACGCTGGAGGAAGTCGCACGTGCTGTTGACCGGCTGCCTAACAGTAAGGCACCAGGTTTGAAAGTAGCGCCGTCAGAATATTACCGCTATGCGCGTTTGCCTCGAGAGGAAGAAGGCTCCGCGACGGGTAATGGTAGGGGCAGGCGACGGGGGGAAGTGAATCAGCTTGTTCCGGTACTGCACGTGCTTTTGGAACATATCAGGGCGACTGGGGACTTCCCACGGCAGTTTACAATTACCGTCCTCACCCTTATTTACAAGAAGGGGGATCCCAGCATGCCGAGTAACTATCGGGGCATAGCAGTAGCTGGCGCCTTGGCGAAATGTTACGCGCTGGTCCTCCTGGATAGGCTTGTTCGCACAGGGGAGATGCTCTCGCTTAGGCACCGAGGCCAAGCGGGTTTGAGAAGAGGATTCGGTACTACACATCATCTCTTTGCCAAGCAGTACCTAACTGCTAGGCACAGCCAACCGGGACAGCGGCCGTTAATCATTGTGCAAATTGACTTTGAGAAGGCGTTTGACAAGGTGCCACGGGAGATAATGTGGCTTCGTTTGCAAGAGAGAGGGGTTGAAGGGTCCATGCTGCGGTCACTGATGTGGGCGTATGACAAGGTTACAATGGTCATCAAGACGAATGGCAAGGCTAAAGGTGAATTTGAGTCAAAACAGGGTGTGAAACAAGGCTGTCCATTATCAACTGAGCTGTTTGGACTCTACATTGAAACTCTCGCGGACGTCATCGATATGCACGACGGTATTAACACCGGGGCACGGCCAGAGGATGCACCGGAGGTTGGAAGTGAGTGAGTGTCCATCCTCCTCTATGCCGATGACGTTAGCCTTCTGGCAACAACACCGGGACGCATGGGGGAGCTGCTCAACATTGTGGACGTGTTCTGTGATGATTTGGGATGCGACCAAATGTGTCGAAATGTGAACGCCTCGTTTTTGCAAGCGACAGCGATACTAGAAATGCTGTCCAAGCATCGTGTGATGAGCTCAGGCTGGCTGGAGATGCCATACCGGCTAAGGATAGTGCACGATATCTGGGGTTAGTGTATGGGCCAGAACGGCAGTTCTGGGCCTGCCGTCAGCAGTTGTATGACACAGCTAGAGCAGCTATGTTCGCGTTGAGTGCAAAATTAGATAAGCTAAAGTTGTTCGCCCCAGATGTGAGGATGAGGTGTTTCGATACGCAGGTACGAGCAATACTGTTGTATGGTTGTCAAGCGTGGCGGCCGTTTAGCTGAGGTCTTGGACAGGCTCAAGAGGCGGAGTGATGCGAGTAACCTTGCAGAGGGGCCCTTCGAGGCATGCCTAAAGGACAGAGCAGTGCAGCTTCAGATATCCTTCATGCGACAATTTGTAGGAGCTGCCAGACAAACACACCGATTCCTGTTTGCAGAGCTGTCGCAGCTACCCCTACACTACCACGTTCTCAAGCAGGTTGTGAGGTTTTGGAACCATGTCCATTTACAGCGTGGGTCTGTGGCACACCAAGTTTTACGACAGGAGGTCGCAGAGTCCCTCTCCAACCCCGAAGGGGCCGGATGGGGGACACTACTACTCCGTTTTCTATGTTTTTGGGGGCACGACGTATGGAAAGAGGCCCTGCAAGGGCTACACGAGGTAGACGAACGAGTGGAGTGGCTGATGAACAGGCCAATGCCAGAAGGTGCGGTTTTGGAGTTCAAGGACCGATTAGCGAGTGGTTGGAAGCATACGCGTTTAGATGTCCAGCCTGACGTGTACCCGTCAGATGGCAAGCAACCAGGAATTCACATGGCGAAGTATAAGCATTGGATGGGTCTGGCGGCCGAGCAAGCGGGCAGGAAGGAGGTGCTCCCGCATATCGCAATGTTTATCCCGCGTTCAGTGAACCGCAAGCTTATGCAGTTTAGGCTTTGCTGTTGGGCATTGGCGGCTAACAGAGCGCGTAAGGGACGGCGTTGTATACCTAGGGAGGAGCGAGTATGCCCTTGCTGCGGCACTGATAGCCATATCGAGGACGAGAAGCACATTTTGATGGACTGTCCGGTGTACAACAAAATCAGATCTGATATGGGTTTCCCACGCTTCGAGCATATGAAGGACGCTATGAAGTGGGAACCTGAACGCCTGGCAAGGATGCTGGAACGCATATGGTCCCACCGCAACTCTTATCGTTCCCTTTGGTCGTTAGTATCCTTCATCACTTGTTTCGTTGGAAGTGCGAGGTAGGATGGTGCTTATAGGCGATTTGGCAGCCCTTGAGCCCTCGGCTCGTATTAGGGTGGTTTGCAGGTACGGGGAACGCACCCACGACCATGTAACAACAACAACAACATCATCATGGATATTCGTTATGGGCAGTGCCTCAAAGATTTGCTGTATTTTTGAGAGCTGTGAATGGGCAGGTATTGGTCCACTGTTTGATGCCATGCCCTGCGCATTGCTAGCCCTGCCTGGTCCGGCGTGTGCATAACCACATCTAGAGCATCCTGCACAAGGAAGAACATTCCCTAACGTTTCCAGTGCCTTACAGACCAGGAGTGCGTGGTGTCGATACTCCAGCCCTGGGTGACACTCAATCTCTTTTCCGGGAGAACAGGGTCTCCCCACAGAGGCAAATTCCCACACCACGCATTAGGAGCTAACGGATGAACATCAACATCCTCAACTGGGGGGAGATATGCCTACACTGTCATGATGCGCTGAACATCTGATGGTAAAACGATTCCCCCTAACCAAGGCCCCCTTCCTGGGACGTGAGTAGACACATGCGATTGTACATTGGGTAAAGGGCATGCAGGAAAGAGTGCATGACCAAGATCCAAGGCGCCTGTGTTAACACTGGCTGGACTATCGCTTCGCAAAATGCACCGCCCAGCACGCATGCACGTGTTCTGAATATTCCCCAAAACCGCCCGAAGTTGGATGGCTATATAACAAAGGCAGGTGGCTGGCAGAGGATAGGGCCTGACTTCTGCTCCCAGAGGACCCGGGTTCATATCTACATGCCAACCTCTCGATGTGTGAGGGGTGTTGGAAAGGGAGGTGGCCCCCCATCTTATGGACGATGCAGGACGTGATAATAGCAGCTCGCGAGCTGACCAGGAACTAAGTTGGGGCGCCGTTGATCCGCTAGATTTGGTTGGATACTTGTGGTGAGTTGCCGAACCCAACGAATACATTCTGAAGTCGGATGGGGTGACGGATTAGGGTGCCCCTCTAGCAGGGGAGAGCCCGGGAAAGGGGCCGCTGGCGAAGTTAACCACCCTGTAACAACATACATACGGGGCCCATGAGGGGGCCCAAGGGCAGAAGGCTGTCAGAAATATTTCGAAATCGGAAAAGTAAAAGCAAAATTGGTCTTAGTTTCTAATTTTGAAAAATCGTGGTTTCTAGAAACATTCTCAACAAACATAGTTGTATCAATAAAGTAAACTCTAAGTAAAATCACTTGGTATAAAATTATGTCAAGGTGCCGTACCAATCCAGTCGTGTACGAGCGTCCATCTGCCTCCCTTGGCCTTGCCACTCGCCTCCCCACCACCGCCGCCCCCGCCCCCGCCATCGCCATCCTGCTGCTGCTGCTGCGGCGGCGGCGACTGCGTGGGTAGCCACAGCGGTCCCGTGACGATGTACACGTCCGCAGCGGCATCTGCACCAGGCGGCAGGTACACCAGGATCAGATCCCACATAAGAGCACACACATACATACACAATAACACAGTTGCATCTTTGTGTCGTACACACCAACCAGGCCGTACAGGCAAGTGGGGTGTGATGCGCTCTATGAGTTGCTCTCATCAGGGTCACGCGACCCGGTGTTTCTCTACCCACTTCCTCTTTTCCCCCCCCACTTTCCCTCCCCTCCCCTTCCCTCCCTATCTTACACGTCAGCTCCTTGACAAAGCGCTCGAACCTGGCCCAGTAGTCCCGATTGAAACCCGCACCGACCTGAAGGAGAATAAGAATGAGGAAGAGGATGGGGGTACGAGGGGGGTCAGGGGGGAAAGACGAACCACGAACGAGTGAAGGTGCTGCCAGGGCAAGAGTTTACCAGACGGGGGGGTCGGGGGGTGTTCCCAGTTCCCAGTTTGTAGGAAACATACAAGGTAGTAAGCGAGCCCGGAGAGGGATGAGGAGCGGGGAAGACGAACCAAGTGATCGAGTGAAGCTGATGCCAAGATAGACTGATACTCCAGAAGTAGGTAAGGAAAGAAGTGAGGAGGGAGGGCAGGGGAGGGGAGGGGGGAAATACATGCAAAGAGCAGGGAGTCATGGGAGGGGGAGGGGGAGGGGGGAAACCATGCATCCAGGAGGAAGTCCAGGCAGGCCTCAGCTGCCCCTGATGGCGACCAAAGCACCAACTGCTGCCATGTCTCCGCACAAGTTACCCGTGCACCATCCTCACCGGCTCCATACACATGTCCGTACATACATACATACATTATATAGGGTTTGGCACTACTGGTAAGGCGCGACCATTGCCCCCGGGAGATCCCGGGATCGATACCCATTAGGGTCAAAGTCCTTCCGATGGTGGAAGGCATTGCGCCCCTAGTTGATGGACGGTGGTGACCTGGGATAAAGTTAACCTGCGAGTCGACCAGGAACGGAGTTGGGCCGCTGTCGACCCGGCAGATTCCGTTGGATGCTGGTGGTGGGTGCGGAACCTGAGCGATCCACTGAGAAGTTGACTAGGGTGACTGGATGAGGGTGCCCCGAAATACCGGGGAAGGCAGGGTTTCGCAGGGTAGCTGCCACGGGCGAAGATACACCCCCCTGCTTCACACATCATACATTATAGGCAGGCGGCTGGCAGAGGTTAAGGCCTGACTTCTGCTCCCGGCCGACCCGGGGTCAAATCCGCCTGCCGACTCCTCGGGTGTTTGAGGAGTGATGAAATGGGAGGTGGCCCCCCATCATATGGACGATGTAGGACGTGATAAAATCAACTTGCGAGCTGACCAGGAACTAAGTTGATGCGCCGTTGATCCGCTAGATTTGGTTGGATGCTGGTGGTGAGTTGCCGAACCCAACGAATACATTCTGAAGTCGGATGGGGCGACGGATTAGGGTGCCCCTCTAGCAGGGGCGAGCAGGGACTGCCCCGGGAAAGGGGGCCGCTGGCGAAGTTAACCACCCTGTAACAACATACATACATAATACATACATACATACATACATACATACATACATACATACATACATACATACATACATACATATATACATACATACATACATACATACATACATACGCACACGAACCCACCTGCGGGCTGATGTTGATGAGGCTGAATGTCTCGTCCATCGCCTTCTGACTAGACTTGTGGTCCGCAGCGGGTGTCTGAGGACAGGGTCAACCGTCAACCGTCAACAATCGCGGATACGGCGGGGAAAAGGGAACGCTCTATGTGTGCTATTGTGTGCTCCCGCGAGCCGCATCTGGTTCAAATTCAATTCAAAACCGATCCAAATCCAATTGAAATTCAAGCATTCGTCCCACTGCGGCTTTCAAATGTTCGGATCCCATGACACGCAATTAGTGGATCTTTTTTCGCAACGGAGCCTCTCTCTTATCGCTAAATAAGACACCAAATCCTCGCCCCTTGCTTCGTGTATAGCAGTCTCCCTTCCACCCAGTGTCGTACACTCGTACCATGTGGCCCCTGTCGTACCCAGAGCCGCGGAAGTCGCTCAGCTTGGCACTGAACCTTGGGTCAATCCCCGGGTCCGGGAAGAACTCCGAGCCCTCCCTAGAGCGGGGTTGGAAGGGGGGAGGATGACGTGTAAGGTCATTCATGGCCGGCAGGGGGAAGGGTGGGCAGATCATGTATATGATGATGAAGATGATAATGATAATGATGACGATAACACGAGCGCACACACACACAAGCATTTCACACCCCCCATATCCCCCTCCAGCACACCTTTTGGCATCTCCGTTGGAAGAGGCCCTGGTGATGTGCTTCAGAACCCACTTGGGGTTCCGTGTACGGTAGTCGTACGCCGCAACGTAGCCTTCGTACTGCCGTATGATCTCGGTCTCTGGTGCGCCTGCGAGATTCACGGGCCATAACCTCATCACCAATATTGCCATCGTCATCGCCACCACCATCCAGCCTTGCCAATACGTGATGCCAAGGGCCTTAGGGCATTAAGACTCTCTACCGCCTGACTGGGCCGACGACAGTCAGCACGCCAGGCAGACAGACTGACAGACAGACTGACTGACCGACAAGCAGACAGACAGACAGACAGAGATGCCGTGTGATGCTAACGCTAATGCGAGCTAACGCCTCTCACCAAGAGCTGCTGCGCTTCATGTCAACAACGTAATCGCCGATCATCACAATACCGCCGTTTGCAGAGCGCAGTGAGGAGAGCCCACCCGTCTTCGAAGCCGCGGTACTCGCTTCCCCCTGCCTTCCCCCCACAGCAGCGAGCAGCGGCGTGCCGAATGTCGATACCCGACTTCAAGCCCGACTGCACGATTGCCTTTTACCCGGATTCAAGCCCCAACCCGACTCCCAAATCGGATTTCAACTCCCTTAATCCGGAATCGGACTCCTAATTCCGAACGAATGGTCTAATGAATGGTTTCTTACCGAACTTGGCGGCGTGGTGTCCCTCCACCAAGCTGATGCCAAGGCCCGCTGCAGGTCGGGGCGACCAACACAGAGAGCAGTATGGCAGAGGAAGGAAGGAAATCATCATCATGCATTCCAATGACACGACTCAACTGTGGTCGCCCAGACGTCCTAATAAGAAACAAAAGTGCCAACTCGGTGGGGGGGAAAAAGGCAGCATTACCGTCGTGCGTGAAGGAGTGTTTTGGATAGTTTGCGCGCTGCAAGTGGTCCTGGGGGTGGCCTTTGGGGCTGGGGCCGGCGGGACGTGTAGCGATGTGCGAACATCGAAAGGACATAAAAAATGAAAATCAAGCCTGTTGGAAAGGCTGCCGGACAGGCACATATGGTACTGTGCAACTGGAGGAATTCCGTGTACGTGTACTGCAAGCAATACATGTGGGGTAGTTAGTCCATGAGCCAATAATGGGGTGCCTGGGGATTGGTCAGGGGAAACCCGGGTCACGGTATCACGGCTGCCGTGAAAAATCACTCGCTGGTCAGCTGGACAGATTTGAACGGAATGCGCAGTGTGGAGCACTTGGGGACGCTAGCGCTCATATTGGTCCTGCAGGCAAGCGTCCTTGCTCGTATTGGCCATGTTGCGCTGAACATAGGTTGGGTGGTCGGGTCAACAAGAAAGCTAGAGGGAAGGTACGGCAGGCTACCACGGCGCAGGTAAATGCGCGTGGATTCCTGTTGGTACGGGAAGCGGCTAAACCCAGCGGAGGTCAACGACAGATGCGCCTGGCTTACCACGTCTGTCCTGAGGCTGCTTGACCGCGGACAGGTATAGGTAACATCCTCCAGCGCCCACCGCAACACCGACGCCAAATCCCACAAAGAGCATCCTGGAAGTAGTTTTTGATGCATTGTTATAGATCAGATCAGGTATCGTTAAGCTTAAGCTGTGTGGGGAAGGCTTTCATCGCACCTCATTTTCGGGCGACAGCGCAAACTACCGCTCTCTCCTCAGCACGCAAATGCCTTTAGCATGTGAAAATGTCAGGATCTACGTGTTATTAATTGGTCATGACGATAATGAAAAGCATAGCACAGCACGCCGTACATGGGCGCCTATCATTTTGTCTGCGTTTCACTACACCGGTATGATTACCTATTTTAGGACAAGTATTCTGCTCACATGCAAGTGTCTTTCAACTAAGTCTGTAGCACATGCGACGTTATGCATCATAATTGGTTCGTTATGTTCCGTTGTGGTCTTGGCAAACATGCGACAATCCAATGGTGTTGATCCCTAATAAACCTGCCATGCTCAAAAGGAAGGCTTTCGAAGCCGTCTGTTTATCAGCACCTCGAGCATTATCTTGCACTGCTCGGAACGTATCTGAACAGACTGTTGGGAGGCCGATTGAAGGACGCTGCGTTGCATCCTTAGTAGATGTTGAGTATCGGCTTTGCAGCTTCACATCCGTGCCGTCACCTGTCGGTTGTCTAGATAGGGCCTTCAGCAGCGACCTCACGCAGCCCTCTACAGCTTCATTCCCTTTCTGCTTTTTAGCGAGCCATCATATCCCTGGTCATACCGGCGCCTTGAGACCTTTCCCTTTGTCTCGATGGGTAGGTAAACCTCCCGCCTTCGTTGCCGACGCGGCCGCACACGGCCCGCACCACGACGATTTTGAGATGACCTTGTTTGCCGCAAAACACATGCCCATATAATGTGGTGACTTGCTGCGGTCTCAACCGATGTCCCTATCCAGGCCATCCTGCCTTCACTGCCGCGGCCACAGCGGATGATGCTGAAACACACGCGGGCGAGCCGATACGCCGGGGCCGACAGGAGCAATGGCGGCGGTGGCTTCGGCGGAGAGCAGCAACCCCGGTGGCGCCGGCGATGGCCACGGTTCAAGCCTTCCCGCAAGATCATGAACACCGCAACTTTGCGGGTGCGATCTACCTCCAGACGGCCCGCGATGTCCTCTGAATGTTGCAGGCAGTCACCAGGGGTCCATAGAGTAAAACCACAGGATCCCATCCCAGCGCAAATGTGGAGCATCATCTGAGGACTTTGTCAGCGCAAAATGCGTCCGTGTCTGAGGGCGTCAGGGTGACACGTGTCCGAGGAGAACTGAGAGGCGGTGGCTACTGCTGGGGGGCGCCGGGGGGGGCACCGATTGTTGGGGAAATGCTGAACGACACAACCTTCGTGTGCACGAAACACGACCACCGTACACTGTACACTCGCCGTACACTATACCGTACGCCGCGCATTACACCGCCCCCACATCCACCATGCAGGAGCTCGGCGAGCTCGCGGCGGCGGAGGTGGCGACGTGGAACCCTAAGGAGTTGGCGGCGGCAGCACGACGGGCCGTGACGCTGTGGCGTTGCGAGCAGCCGCGGGCCGCCGCTGCCATTCGCATTATGCAGCGACTGCGGCTACTGCCGTCACCGTCATCGCCACAAGTTCTGTTCCAATCTCCTCCTGACCGTGGTGGGTCCGATAGGGGCTCTGAGGACAGGCGTAGCGGTAGCACAGGAGATGCTTCTGGAAGCGGACGGGAGCTGGAGACGCGCTTACTGGCTGACGCTGGTGGCAAGGGGCGAAAGGAAACATTCCCGAGGTCCCGTGGGATCGGTCGTGCAGCCATACAGTTTCCGGCGGCGCCGCCGAGGAACGTGACGGCTGCTGCGCCTGTGCGGCGGAGGGTGGTGACGGGAGGCGCCTACAACTACGCTGTGGTCGTGGAAGTAAGAGGAGGGGAGAGGGGTGCAACGCCCAGCCGGTGGGTAAAAAAAGGGGGATTCGGCCGCCTGAGGGAATTTTTCAATTCAAGAAAGGTGTAAGGAGTTGAGGGAACTGCACAACTGCCCAAGTTCAAAGCAAGGACCGACTGCTGGGCTCAGAGGCAAAGAGGGGGATGGGGCCTGGGAAGTTTTAGTCTCAAGTTCTCCGGAAGGGGTACATGGAACACTTCCTCGGGGGGCCCGCGGGAGCTGTGTTGCGGCGCGCGGGAGGGAGGATGGAATGGGGATTTATGGCTTGAGTGGAGCAAGGCGTGGCCGGCCTTTTGCGGGGCGCATCCCTGGCTGCGGTGTGGTGTGTTTGTGGTGTGTATCATACACAGTGTATGTAAATTCGGGGGGCCATATGGTCGCCCTTTTCGTCGTTGGGTGAACTCTCTTGGTCTTGGCGAGCTCCGGAGCCAGTCGGCGCTCCCTCGCATGTCTCGGCAGCTGTTTTCTTGACTTGACTTGCGCGGCATCGTGCAATCCCTCCCCCTCCCCTGCCCTGCCCTAACCTCCAGAAGCCCCTCCGGCCCCACCAGCTCCAACTGGCTCAACTGGTGGAGAGGCTGGTCAGGGCAGCTAATGGCCGCTGCCAGAGGTGTGCGGGAGGGGCCTGGGGGCTGGGGACCGAAATGAGGGGGGGGGGTGGAGGCCCGCCAGCTGGCAGCTGCTGCTGAGGCTGTAGACAGAGAGTCGTTTCTTCGTGGGCCTTTCGAAACGTACAATTCCAACCAGTCATATTACCCCTCCCTCCCCGCAACACATACACACGCGCGCGCTCGCACTCTTCCACCCAACCCCACCCCTTCCGGATGTGATGTACGAGTAGGGTTTCGGATCCCGGGAGCTGTCCAGCTTCATCTGGAGCCTCGTGGCGCTGGGATACTGGCAGCCGCCGCTGGTGCCCCTGGTGTCGGCGTTTGCGGACTACGGAGCGGAGCGGCTGCGATCTCAGCCCAACCCCATCGCCACTGCCATGCTGCTCCAGGTGTGGCGTGTGGGGGTGATGGGGCGGTCTATGGGATGTCTGTTGGTTTGATCGTTGATGTGGTGTAAAGTGTTTTATATTTTGCAAGGGTATTGTGTGCGGGGCTGGTGGTGGTGGGAGGTAGGTGTAAAATGAGGTGTGCTACAGGGCCATGTATACACGTGGCAGGGTACTGTTGCAGTGACGGAGGGAGCCACACGGACTTTAGGATGCTCGACCCACGGGTCGCTGCGCGTCTGTGGCTTTCCCACGCACACGTGCGGCTCCGTCTCGTTCAGGTTCTGGCCAAGGCGCGGGCGGCCGCTGCTTCAGGGCAGGACACTGCCGCCAAGCTGTTGGAGCTGGCGCCCGCCACCACGGTTGCCGCCGCCGCAGCACTGCCTGGTTGCCTTCCTAGCTGCGAACCGCGGACGTTAGCAGGTAGGTGGGTGGTTTTGCCTGGAGGGGCTGGGAAGGGGAGGGGAGGGTCTTACTCACGCACCCCCTACATATCCTGAGACCATTCACCCGAGTTCCGTCCATTCCTGCTCCTGTTGTCGTACAGGTCGATACTGGCTTCACCGACGAGCTCAAGGAGAAGCCCCAGACCCCTAAGGTAAGGTGGTGACTGTTGCAGAGTTTGCCGATGGAAGGCTGCCATACTGTGTCCGTACAGCGAGAGCATTCCACTGTTGTATCATCGTGTGTCATATCAAGTAACTGAGTGTATGTATGCAGGCCATGCAATTTCATTTTTTGTGCATTTGCACACCAATTCGTATGTATGTAATGTATGTCGGCTCTGTATGTACGTCGCCTGTGTCCCCCTTGCATGTGTTTTTCTCACTCACAGGTCCGTGCCCATATGCGGGAGATGATCAAGAGCCGGAAGTCCAAGACCGTCAAGGTCTAAGTACGCAAAGTAAACGCGTAGCCATTTGCAAATGGCGATAGGTGGTGAGGAAGGTGCTGCGAGGATCGACCCACCGAGTAGTCGGACACTGGTCACCTCTGGCCGTGTGACGGCACCGGCACTGGCGGAGCGGCACTGGCGTCGAGGGCGCGTTGCCCCCCATGCATGATGTGCTGTGCTAGCTAGCCGTCACCTCCGTCATTGCCGCGTGTCTTCACTCCCGTGAGCATCTCTGCCACTTGCTGCTGCAACGGGCTTCGCTTTTCTGTGGGATGCTTGGGGTTCGAAATTGTAGGAAGCGTTGTTGAGCAGCCGACGGGCGAGCGTAGTCTTACCTGTTGCCTCTTGCTGCCTCTCCTTCGACCCTGACTGGTTTGGGGACGGCGGAAAGAAGAAGCGGACGGCAATGACGTTCATGCATGTCCGGTGGTGTACGGCGCGGTGGGTGACTGAGCGGGTGGGCGTGTGGAGCCCACGAATTCCCCTCTGTCAGTGTCGAGGGGCCGTGGGGGAGGGGTATGGCGGCGGCAGAGTCTGCATCCTCATCTGCGCTCTGCCATTGCGAGCCCCCTTGTCCTTGAGAGAGAGAGAAGTCCGCCTTTCCACGTCCGGGGCGCACTATTGAGGCGGGGGGGGCGGGGGCCTTACTGCGCTTTCAAATGCGGCCATGGGTCGGTGCCTGTCTTAGGGAAGCAGCAACCCACCTGGCGGCACAAGTGCGTGCTGGCCGTACACCCACTCTGCATGCGGGTGGACGTACGGCCACTATACATAGCGGCGCTCCTTGCTGGGCTGACTGGCTGTACTGCTACTGTGGGGGAATGAGGATAAAAGGGACGAAGAAAGTCGTGGAGCTGCTGCACTGGCTAGGTTAGGGCGGGAGTGCGCCTCGGTCTGCCGCCGATTTTGGTCACCGTCTCAGGGGCAGACGATGGTTCCTTTTGCACGCGCGTGTGAATGAATGAATGTGTGTGTATGTGTTGACGCGTGTGATGTGTGTGCTCGTTTACATCGTCACATCAAGTCCTCATCTAGAGGGTAGGACACAAAGTCGGGGAGAGCAATTCTTTGGACTGCCCCGGTCGCACAATTCCCGTGCTTCCCTAATTCGACACCCTGAACAGGCCAATTCTGAGTGTCCGAATGTCCCTGCCAGACCAATGCGACATCCCGACATGCTAATCCTGACTGACGGAATGTCCCTGCCAGGCCAATTCGTGTCCCTGTCAGGCCAATTCAAGGGCCTGTCCCGGCAATTTAACTTGTCCCGGTGTAGCCCCCGTGCCAATTTAAACCCTTGGACCGAGCAATGTCGACCAATTGCGGGGCCGGCCCGGAAACTCTCAGTCAGGCATCCGGAATTGCGGGAGTTGAAGGAACTTTATAAAACTCTGTAAGGGGAGCACTTACAAGTATTTCTCGTGTGTACTGTGTTGGTTTCAAATCCAGACATGGGCCAGGAAGTGGCAGGAACCCTACACGCCTGGTTACCGTACTCTGCACTCATTCATTCATACATTCAGTGTGTGTGTGTGTGTGTGTGTTCAACGAAAAGATACTACCACCTGAACCGACCCGAACCAGTGGCATGGCGAGACGCCCACAATGTAAAACCGCTTTCATTCGTTCATTCATTCTTTCATTCATTCATCAAATCATTCACATGGACGAAGAGATGTAAACACGCGCCCTGCCCTGCACTGGGGTGTGGCAACACCCCATTCATTCAGTATAAGGAGATCTCCTTTCAGGTGGTTTTGATTCGACGCCCGGACTTCGATCGGTGCTGCCCGAGTCCAATGGCCGCGTCCACGGCGGCCAGCACTTGGCGGCCAAAAACACCACCAGTATGGAAAGTTCTCATTGTTAATTGTGTGCCAGGTTCACCTATTGATTGAGCAGCAATAACGCCAACAGCTTCATCAACTGACACTAAATTGCCTTGAGCTAAACTCCAACCATAACATAGCTGACACAACAATTTTGTTGTGTTCCAAGTTAACGGCGATCGTACAAAAAAGCGATTAGTAATTTTCGCCCAACGGAGAGCTCGATGGATTGAGGCACAGAACACACATGGAGCACAAATTCTTCTCGACAGACATCTGCATTTTCATTTGTTTTCATTGTAGCTCGTGGTACTGAGTTTAGTGGTGTGTATGGGAGATTCGCCATTGTTTCCACCCGAACCTGTTGATGCATACGAGTAGTGTGGGTATGAACTGGACAAACTGCCGATGAAGTGGGGTAGGAAAACAGTGGGGCCTCGGTGACTGACTGGTGGGTATTGCAGTTGTGGCCCTGAGTGCTTGCCTCCCTACATTATTAGAGTATGGTAACCAGGTGTGTGTCACGCCAAAACATCTGAAGCGTACTAATTATGTGCCACGACCGAGTTAGTCGCTATTTAAGTCAACCGAAGGTAGTTGGACGAATCGCGTCTTGATTCAGTTGAGACTTAGGGCACTGCTTGACTAGTGCATAAGGCGCTTTCCGTTGTGGTTTGAGGATGTTCAGTTGTTGTTCATCTGTCGGATGAACGCTACGCATCCAGGATAGGGCCTCGTGCGATAAGGCCCGGCGCGGATCAGTCGATCCCTCGCCATAAGTGTGAGTGCGAAGACGCCAGATTTTTGTCGTTTGGCTCTCGAAGCAACTCTTGTTGACCAACAATATTAAGAATAATAGCATCACAGGTGGGCAGCTAAGCCCGATTTATGTAACAAGCCTGTGATCGTACTCTATCTCGTGATGCACATTCGCCATCAGAGCGGAATTATGAGAGGATCCATACGGCATTCAAGGTCCGCCCTTAGTGCTGTTACCGTCACGTTGACAGGAATCCGTCCCCAGCCCGGTCTCGCCTACCACGATCGCGGTCTCTGAGGTGAACTCAGCCGGATTTCGCCGGTTGAGCCTGGCGAGAGCTTCTGAAGAGGGTTCTTATTTTGCAGTATTTCCCCACAGTGAGCCAGCCGCATTTCTTGTGTCTGTTAGCACGTCATATGGCGTGACATGTGCAATTTTACCTGTTCCATGCCCTAGGATTGAAACCAACATGCACATGAGGCACTTTTTAAGCGATCCCCATGTAAATTTTTTCTGAAAATTCCTTTTCTGTAAAAGTCATGTGCTTCCGGATGCCAGCCTGAGCCAATTCTGCCAACTCGACAGCCAATTCGACACCCCGAACAGCCTAATTCGATACCCTGCTAGGCCAATTTGACATCCCGAACAGGCCAATTCGATACCCTGCCAGGCTAATTCGACACCCTGACAGACTAATTTGACACTCTGACAGGCCAATTCAGGCCCAGCACAGCCCAATTCCGGGGCTCCACAGCGCAATTCGAATACCTCCGGCGAGCCCGCCAGAACAATTCAAGACCCCGGCGGACCAATTCTTGTGCCAGGAATAAAATCCAACCTAATTCTGCGACAAAGCTCTTCCCCTATTCCAGCCCGAATCCTACCCTCCTCATCAAGAAGACGAGAGTCTCGCATGTATATGTAACATGCATGTTCCATCAAGATCTTGTGTTATTTCTTCCGCCACACCAACAAGAGCGAGTTTACGTAAGGTTTCAATTCATATATTGTACGACGGACTCCCGACAATCTCCCGCCGAGATCTAAGTCCAAAAACGAGTGCGCCACATCGAAATCGAACCCACAACAGCCCCCAGGGAACGAACAAGGATAATAATACCATCCTATCTCGCTGCTACTGCCACTGCAGCTCTCGTTTCAAAACTCTTTTCAGAACTTGTCGAGGCGAGAAATATTTCATGCCGTGGCGGGCCTGTGGCGGTCGTGACGGAGGTCCATGATATCTGCGTGTGAGAACCCAAGCACTGGACACACGCAAGAGCGCGGTTCGTTGGGGCGTAGTGAGATCACCTAGACGACCTAGCTGACGAAGTTTCAGTGTAACTGACGGTTGAAAGCTTATTGAGTATGTAAGACCCAATGGAACAGATAACAGCGGGTGCTTCTGTTGGCGCCGTCACGGTGGACGTGCAAGTGTGCGAATGAAGGTGTGGTGGTGTGGAAAAGGGGAGGGGAGATGGATGGACGTTTCCCATGGGCCTGAGTCTCTCAAAAACACAGAAAGTGACATCGCACGCTATGTACACACGATGGCTGCGCAATAGGTGGAACTCGTCGGCTTAGTATCATGTCGCCACCTAAACCGGCTCCATGATGGCTTTCGCTGAAAGGCCGCACATTCCGGGCGCATCAGTTCTGCAGGTCCCCGCCGCTATTCCGGTTTCTCAACCTTCCTGCACCATGTTTTCCGTCTGGAGGTCCGCACTAATGCTGTTAACAGATAAAAGGACGTTATTGCGTAGAAGTGTGTACTACTCTGTGTGTAGGACATTCGGCAGCTATGGCTTCACTGCATACACGTCTGCCTTTCGATACTCTGACAGTAGTGGCTTCGTGCGCTCTGACACAGCTAGAGTAAAGGGCCCGTACAACACGAGTGGATGTGGGTGCTCACCACCACTTGCGCCAGGCACAAACGTGTCAGTCTGAGAAGCGATGAAGAGAGACACGCGGCTTTATGACTAGCAGAGATCAAGACCCAAAAGTTTGCAACACATGATTGCCAGCCTGTCGGTCTATCCCAGGTCCAGGTCCAGGTTCAGTATAACTGTCTGTCAATCTCAGGTTTCTTGGCGGAGTCTATCTGTAAACGAATTCCATGTCTCTCGACACATCTAGTCTCACCGGAACTTTCGGAGTACGGAACACCCGCGGACCAAACACCTATGGGGCCCATGTTTGGACTTTACCTGTATGATAAATAGGGGGGTCCTTGTGAAGCAGCTGCCCGCGTTTCCAAAGCCCGTATGGTGTTGGATTGTAAGGTGCCCAAGTACGTTTGCGAGGAAGAGAATGTGGCCAGGCTGGAGAGGAAAGTGCAGTGGCATATTGGAATGTGAGATTAGCGTAAGCGAGTTACAGGGCGTTTTATTGCACGGGCAAATTTACGTGCAAATCTTTCACCGTAGTATCAGTCCTCAGTTCACTTCTTGGAACGAACATCAGCATAGGTGCAAGCCCTCTCGCTTGGAGGGATATGCAAACAAACATCCTGATAGGGGTAAACTCGCACGCTACCGAGCATTCAACCGAGCACATGCATGCTTAGTTGAATGGTGAGATGCGACCCCCCCTTCATTTCATTAATGCGCTTTCGAATGCGACACATCTGTGACCCATGGGTCGGTGCCTGGCGGAGGGAAGCAGCACCCGCCTGGCGGCACAAGTGCGTGCTGGCATACACCCACTCTGCATGCGGTGGACGTACTGCCACTATACATAGCGACGCTCTTGCTGGGCTGACTTGCTGTACTGCTACTGTGGGGGAATGAGGATAAGAGGGACGAAGAGAGTGATGGAGCTGCTGCACTGGCTAGGTTAGGATGGGAGTGCGCCTCGGTCTGCCGCCGATTTTGGTCACCATCTCAGGGGCAGTCGATGGTTCCTTTCGCACGCGTGTGCGAATGCATGAATGTGTCTGTGTGTTGTCGCGTGTGATGTGTGTGCGCACTGAACAACAAAAACAGGATAAGCTAACCAGCGTAATGCGCGCTATAAATGACGGCCCTGAAGACACGGGCCGTTGAAAAACAGTTAGACTAACAAGTACGCACTGGGCCTTACGTCCCACTAACCCAGCTTAACGCAGTGAAGGCAGGAGAAAGGCTTGGCCGAAATACAACAGTGACCTCCAATACAATTAGCACACAGGGTCCGGGTCTACCTAGACATGGTGACCATTCGGCAAGCCCTGCTTTCTGTGGGGGGCGAGGACGATAGTTCCATTTCGCCAATTGTTGCTGCCCTTTTAGATTTAGGGTTTGACGTAGATGCCGAGGTCGGCGGCGCTTTCCGCCTGCTGAATGCGGAACAAGCAGCAGGCCTCACTGTTCGACAGCAGTTGGCTCTAAAGGCCGCTATCCAAGGTCCGTTGTATGCAATCGCGTACTTAAGCATTGTTAGGCTCGTATCCTGTAAACCGCCACTGCAGGCACGCACTTGTAAAATTTGCGCATTGGGCCGTTAGGAGTGCCATTGGACGCATAGGGCGTTAGGAGTGTCTCGTCAAGCCCTGCGAGAATTGTCCCTCAATTGTGCTGCGGTGCTTAGGCATTGTGGTTGAGAGTAGACAGGACGCACGCCCTTTCCCGCTAGCACACCGAGGCGCTGGTGGCGAGTTCCAAACCTAGGTTTTGCAGATAGCCTTTGCAAACTTGCGCGTGAAGCTACCTCAGGTGTTAAGAATGCTGCATAAAGATTGCTACTACGTGCGAGCCGCGCTGCCTCTACCTGCACCTGTAGCAGCCGGTACACAGTACGGTGCTATAAATACGCGCAGAGCGCGACCGCCAGCAACTCGAGAGACCTTTTCAGCGGTCAGCTGCTACATTGGTATCGAGGGTCAAGTTCGATCCTCCTTGACGCGATGCGCTACAATAAGGCCGCGCAAAAGCGTTTGACTAAATTCCTTAAGCTTCAAAAATCGTATGAAAGGTATCGCGAAGCATCCCTTCAGGAACAGGACCCTGCTGCGCCCGAGGCTGCTAATTCCGACGACGAAGACGAACGCCCTTTGGCTATTCCCAATAAGGAACATCATATTAATAATATTCCTGTTAATTGTCCACAGATGGACGTTGATTCTCCGGCGGAATCGCCATCGGATACCGCGCAGCGCGCCTCGCCTTCTACGGGCGGGCTTCCGGCGCGTACGCCAGCGCAGGCTGCGGCAGCCGCGCAGGTCCAAGAAATGCTTCGCGCGGCTCGCGACAATCAAGTCCCCGCTCTTCAAGCGGAATTATCTTCCTTTAAGGGAGAGGTTCATGGCATTCTCGCCGAATACGGCGAGCGCTTGGGCGAAATAACCTCCGCCCTGAAGGATGTGCAAGCGCAGCTTCGGGATTTGTCACCTACGTCGCCGCCTCCGAGTACGTCGGACACTAGGCGTAAGACGATAATTATTGATGGCATCTGCGAGACGCTGGACAGCAATCTGGCCGCGTTTCTTGACGTGGATATGCTGCAGAATTGCGCTTTCCAGGCGCTTCTGCAGCGCCACCTTAATCCCGAAGTACGCTTGGAAGAGGTCAAGCAGCTCTGGGGCGAGGGCATCGCCAAGCAAGCCGGTGGTCCTTCCGGCTCGGCGGCCCCTCCTTCCAAGTCTGCCCGTCCCTCCGAGGTAAATAAGCGTATCCTTGCACCACCTCGTTTTAGTGGAAAGAAGGATTCGCAAATTACTAATACTAAGACATGGTTCGCGCTCCTTATGCAATGTTTTGACTTGTCGCAAATGGACCCGCTTGAGCACTTTATGTTTTGGCTTACGGGCAAGGCTCAGGAGTGGGCCGCAGATCTTTTCCTTAAGCACAAGTCCGGCGCGCAACCACTTACCCGCGATTTGTTGCGTGATAAATTCCTGTTACAATATGGGGATGTGAAGCGCGACACCGCGATGGCCGCACGCGATCGTTTGCATGCGCACGAGTACGATATGAAAGTAGACGAGTCCGTACCAGAGTATACGCAGCGCTTTTATGATATTGTTCGCGAAGCGAATGATATGAGTGTTGCGGATCAAATCTCTTGGTATATCAAGGGCTTAGTTCCTGCACTGCGCGGTCGCTGCGCTATGGACGATAAGGGCAAAGACTGGCAGGATTTAGAGAAGCTAATCCTGTATGCTAGCGGTCAGGAGGTTCGGTGGAAAGCCGGAAAGGACAAAGCACAGCTTGCTGTAGTTACTACACAAGCTGGCCCGTCTAAGATTACTTCCTCCTCTCGCCCTAAGCAATCTCGCCCTCGGTCCCCTTCCAAACAGGCCTGGGAAACGGTTCGTGCGAAGAAACCGCGGACGTCAACGTCCGGTACACTTGAGAAGAGTACACAACGTCCGGTACACTTGAGAAGAGAAGTGTCGGATGTGCTCTCGCCTCAAACCGGCGAACCAGACTTGGGAAGAGCACAAGAAGGACTGCCTTCGCCACCTGCAGGAGCAGATGGCCCGACTGCAGGAGAAGACGGCTAGTTTAAACGGGTCACCACACTGGGTACATTGTCAGCCGGACACTGTATGCTCAGGTGGCTGCTCCTGCAGCCCCCGAGGTCGCCGACAGGTCCGACAGGATGCTGCATATGACTGCAGTGGGCACCAGGACGGCTTTGTTCATATGAGTGTCAGACCCGACCACCATGGCCACAAGCTTGCCGGTGTCGACCGAGAAGCAGCCGCCGCCTGAACAATGTCACTGCAGATGTGGCTGTGCACATCCGGCTCGGTCGCCGCCACCATGTCGTGGCTGATGGATGTGGCGTCCGCTTGCGCCTGTGTGGACTGGCCATGGACGTAGTACTTGTCGCCAGCCGAGACACCAAAGTCCAGCACCGGGGGCACCAGCTCGCACTGCACCTGAAGGTCAATACCAGTGAAGCAACATCACAGGCGGCTGACTATGTTGTGAATTGTGAGTGCTTTAATGCTCCAGCTTGAGCTTGCATGGACCTTGACTTGTGGGAATCTAGGCAAGGAAAGGGCTTGGGGAGGAAAGGTGCAAGGGTGCTACATGTGCAGAAGTAAGCTCAATTGCCGCTACTGTAGGCTTAACCAACCCGCACACTGGCACACCTCGAGGATGGCAACGTCTTGGATGGGCTTGATGCGCACCACTGTTGAGTCCACCAACACCCTGCGGTCCGCGTCGGGGCAGTGCACGGCAATCTGCGAGCAGAGTGTTGTTGCATGAAGCATATGAGTGTCTCCCCTGTGTGAACGAGCCTATCCAGGAGGACCAGCGCGTAACATTTCGCCAAGGCGCCCGCTATTGCTATGCCCCGATAGTTACTTGGCATGCTGGGATCCCCCTTCTTGTAAATAAGGGTGAGGACAGTAATTGTAAACTGCCGTGGGAAGTCCCCAGTCGCCCTGATATGTTCCAAAAGCACGTGCAGTACCGGAACAAGCTGATTCACTTCCCCCCGTTGCCTGCACCTACCATTACCCGACGCGGAGCCTTCTTCCTCTCGAGGCAAACGTGCATAGCGGTAATATTCTGACGGCGCTACTTTCAAACCTGGTGCCTTACTGTTAGGCAGCCGGTCAACAGCACGTGCGACTTCCTCCAGCGTGCGGGGGGGGTCTAGGATTTCTGCTGCCTTTGCAGTCCTGCCCAAAACCGAGTGGGATGACCGCCATTCCTGCCCCTCTAGGAACTGCCCAAAGTTAATGAAGTTCAAAAGCCGGTTTGCACCATCAGGCCCCGTCTCCCCTACACCTGCGTTTAATACCTCAATATCATCTATCGCACATCGCTCCCTCAACTTCCCTCCTTGAGCCCGCCACAAAGCTCGTTGATCATGCCGACATTTGGCCATGAATAACGTATTTCAAAAGTATGCTTATCATTTTTTGAGACTGGCATAAGAACGTTCTCAGCAGCGCCAGCATTCTCAAGCCGTTCTTAGCATTCTTAGCGTTCTCAGGAACATTCTTTAGCACGCTTCCATTTTGGTAGGGCGTGTTACACAACTTGTGTATTCATATGGGCAGTGCTACAATGTCATCTAATTCGAGTTTGAATATGTGGGGATAGACGAACTCCTGGAACGGCTTCAAACCCCAGAATGTGATCTGTACTTACTTTGTGCAGCATTGTGTACGAGTATATGAGTGGCCTATTAGACAGGAGCCCTACCGTGTGTTGGCTTAGTTAGGAACGACACATCTTGTTGCCGGTTGGTGCACCTGCTGACTGTTGGGGTGACATGGTTCAGAACAGTTCGAAACCTATGCATTCTCTAGGGTCAGAGGATGAGGAATATTCATCCGCTGTGATACAATAGATTAGATACTGGCAAGTACTGGCTACACCAGTAAAAAAACGCAGTGACACATGCCATTTGGTGCTATAAGGTGATAAATCGTAGAACTGACAATGTGATAAAGTGGCCCAGAAGCCTCCCACTCTGTAACACTACATTACATGCCATTTTGATACCTACATACTGCCAGTCATCAGCAGCCATCTGAACATGTGCACACTTTTACTCATCTGCCCAACCCAACACAACAGTACATACTAAAACACCTAGCAGACACTTCCCTCAGAAACTGCACCAGATTGCCTATTTGGGCAACCCCGCAGCTTCCCTAACCAACTAGCAATTGACATCAGCAGCATTCCATGGCTAACGAAAGGGGCTACTACCACTGCATCAATAAGGAGAGTAGCTCGCACACAGTAGCTCAACAAAACATGAAGATCGTGGCCATAGGTCCAAGGTGTCCACAAAGCTGTCCCTTCACCCAGCACAACAATTGTTGCGGTGAGGATGCATCAGGTGCTGCTGTGCAGGTCTTAGTATGTGTGCATGACACCTTCACTTAATGCTATCAATGCCACTGTAGCAAGCTACATTTCCCTTAGAATATTTCAACGATTACTTTTAACAATAATTGTTAATTCGTTCATGATTCGACTCAAGTTTTGTACATGTTACGAGCCACGTCACATGCATCGAACATGACAGTTGTTCATAAGCAAACCTAACGGGCTGGGGCCCTGGGCCCCACCAACATTATCCTAGTACGGCAAGACCGTGGTAGGGAATCTCCGGCAGGTAGGCCGAGATATAAGCTACCCGGGCGGGGTGCTCTGGCCAGACACTGACGTATCACATCTACTAGGTGTTCGGAGTTCAAGACTCCGCTGCCACCGTCTCTGATTGTTTCATACGTGTCTATGTACGCTAGTGCTTGCCGCTGGGTTGGACTTATTCCTACTCCGGCGAGGACAGCCAACACCACGCTTCCGCTTATCCAGTCGACCCGCCAGGTGAGCAACTGCTACAGCCACGCAGAATGTACAACCGGGTGTTGGCTGACCGCTCATGCTTTTTGGGGTCGGGCGGCCAGACAGCCTCTCGCTCCTCACAGGCCTTCCTCTTCTTCGTTCCTGCCCGCACCTTAAACTTGTTGTAGATGCTAGGATCCACCACAAAGTAAAGGCTGGGTTGGCGGCCCTCCTGGCCCGGAGCAGAGATGCCGAGTCGCTTGAACACGTCTTCGAGGTCATCAGCATTAATTTCCTTCATAGCCGACACAGTCATCTGGAAAAGGTACATTGCCGGCACCATAAGAGCATCAATGATGGGGAAGTTGGAGGACTTGGGCCTCAAGTATGTGTCCATCGTAGTGCTCATCATACCATGGACCTCGTTGTCTGTGAAGATGTTATACTGCTTGCATTCTGGGATATCCAGCTTCTCCTCCTTGCCCCGCTCCAGAGTCTTCGGGTCCAATGGCAACACATCGAACTTGCCGCCAGTCGCCAGTGCAGCATGCATGACTGCCTCAAAGAGGTAGCCCTTTAACACCTTCGCTGCCATTTAGCAGAGATATCAATTCCCCCCTTTCACATTTCCATGCCCGTTTGGCAAACTCGACAGCCACCCATTTGGTAGCAAAGTTTAGGTACTGCACCTCGAACTTGTCGTCAACCACAATATGGATCACGCAATGGCCGACCGAACCTATCGTGATGGGAGCAACCAGGGAGGCAGGCCAGGTCATAGGTGTGTTACAGGTGAAAGGCAGGTACAACTTGCCAAGAAACGAGATGTCTGCAGCAATATGAACATGGAAGGACACAAGAGCTCAGCAGCAATGCAAACATACAGAATCAGTTTCCACTGGATAGAAGGATCATCAACATCAAAACTCAGGCAATGCAGGCGAAAACTGGGCAACGACCTTAAATGACATGAGGCTCAGACAGCTGAACCTAAGTCAGAACCGAAAATTTGTAACCGGAACCGGAATCGGATTCGGATATTGCCGCATGAGTTGGGCAAGGATGGAGGAGAGGACATAAAGGTGAAAGGTGATAGATTTTGACAGACACATACACACACAGATACACACACAGACACATACACACACAGATACACAGACACACAGAGACACACAGAGGCACCTGTTTCATGCTGATCCGTTCAAATGGTTTCAGCTGCGCCAGCCCCTCCTGCCACCACCCCACCGCCACTGCATCCAGAGCAGCTCTGCGACGCGGCTCGTCAAGGAGCGCGGGAAAGAACTTGGTGCCAGCCACCTTGGTGGGGAGGTGAGGGGTTGGGAGAGAAATGAGGTGAAGAGGGTGGAGAAGGTGAGGGGGGGTGGGTGTAGGGGGAAGAGGATGTGCGGGTCAGTGGTAAGCGAAGTGTGAGGGGGTAGGCAGGACAAATCCAGAAAGGCCCGGCCCCGACATTAAAGCGAGGAGGAGGGGGAGGCGGAGGAGGCGGAGGCGGCGGGGGAATTGTTAAACAAGAGGTCAAGTCTGTGATCCCAGGGGACCTGTGAGGGTATGCGGGACAGCATATATATGTGGGGGAGGAAAAGGAAAAGACGTGCAAACCGAGCTCCCCAAACAACTCCAAACGGCCTCAACGGTCCTAACTTCCAACGCCCACCTGCTCCAGGTCGTCCAACGGCACCACGTAGGCCGTCAGCGGGTTGCGCGCATCGATAGGTTGGTTGGGCATGACAAATGCGCCAACCGCCACCGTACCGTTGGATAGCGGCGACGGCGGGTCACGTGGCGTCGTGCCCTTTCCGTACTCACCGCCTCCCCCCCCTCGGGGGTCAGCTAGCACAACCTTGTAGTAGTGAGTGGGTACGGCAACCAGACCCGGCGGTTTGCCTGTACGGCAGCCAGTTTTGGAGGTAGTGGAAGCGGAAGATTTTGCGGGCCATGAAACGGCAAAAACGAATGCAAGGAAATGGACATTTGACGCCATTATCGTTCAACTTGACTGAACTTGTGTATGCAAGTATGCAAGTATGCAAGCATGCATGCATGTATGTATGTATGACTTACATTACACTGTGGGCCGCGAGAGCCGGGGGCCGAAGCCGAAACACAGCGCAAGGGTCGGGAGCACACAGCACACGTCGGTTAGTCTTGTGTGCTCCCGACCCCGACTCAGACTGCCAACACACAACGCAGCCACTCCGCAGCCCGTCCATCCAGGGATGGCGCTGCAGTGAATACACCACGAAGGGCTCTCAGGTCCCGCTAGAGTGGGTCCACAAGTCTCAGTTAGGGTAAAAGCAAAGGCTCTCTGGAACAAACCCCCACAACACAACCAAAGACAAAGGGAAGAAAAACCGAGAAAAGAAAAAGACGGCCAGGGTAGCCCAGGCAGGGGAGAGCCAAAAAAAGGAAAACCTCCAAGAGAGAAAGGCTAAGAGAGCTCGACACCACAAGACGTCTTGCAGCCACCTTACAACAACTGACCCCCTCTACCTGTCCCTTCCTGGGCTGGTCCAGGGGAGAAGTAGCCATACAAAGAAAAGGGACCACTCACAAGCCCGATCACCACTGCAGGGGCCCGGGATAGACCGGCGAAACCACCATTCCCTCCCGGGAACTAAAGATTTTACAGAAAGACTCTGAATTTTGCCAAAACATTTTACCGCATGCAAATAATTATTTATTTTGTAAAATCTTTAGTTCCGCTACGGTAGTAAGTGTAGAGTTCCTCCACGGTCGCCTCTGGCACTGCACTATACATCTTGCTGCGGGCACATTTATGGTGCGAGGGAAAGCAAGTAACAACTTTTACTGTTTACACGCGGGACAATTGGCAACAAGTGCAGTTTAGTTAAGGACCTAGCTCCCACACCACCCGTCCCACACCCAGCACCTGCGGCAGTCAAGCAGCTCCTTAAGCTCCCAGAAAGGCATGTACCAAGTCACAGCTACTGCCTTCCTCATCTCCTGCAGCCCGAGGGAGGGAGGGGTGACAGTCCTTCATTCTGATCTTCCTAGTTCATAAGGGACAAATACCTTTAGATGGCAACTTATGGGCGAGTAGTCCTGGATGCTCCATGCCAGGTGCACAAGCAAGGTCAGTGTATGACGGTACGCCTTCTAGTTCCATCTGGGCCCAAGATGCCTACCTTCATGGTCGTTTTCTTGGGTGAGGTCAACAGCACGATGTGCGCTGCAGGGGCGGTGTCTGGCGACACCCCGTCGGCGAGTACCTGACAGGTAAGGTAACGAAGTGTCAAGGACATAATGAGCCCAACGAATCTGCTGGACAAAGAGCAGACCACGGCCTGTAAGCACATCATCAGCCCCCTGTCAGGGCACATGTATGTATGTATTAGATTACACTGTGGTTTATGTTATAAGAATTACTAGTTTCATTCCAGGGAGTACAAGACGCCCAAAAAGACAGGCGTGAATTTTACCGCGTGGAGCTTTGGAAGTGAAACCAAAACAGCCTCTCACTTTAAAACGCCTTCATTTGCCGCCGGTCTGAGACTTACAAGGAGCTTGACCAGCCACAACTGCGCGTAAAGTGTTGTGTTTAAAGCATGGAAGAGCACAAGTAGTCACCATGGATGCCGTCGATAATCCCACTGGTGCAGCTGTGGATGGCAGCGGATGCCGCGTTGCCACGGCTGCCAACCCCCTTACGGAGGACAAACCCACAATACTCAAGGCCAGCACCGCTTCAGGCACCGAAACAAGTGCCATTACCGCCGTTGTCGACGACACTTCTGCGGGCTTGTCCAAGGCTTTTGATGGATTAGACAGGGTTCCCACTGAAGCTTACGGGGATCAGAAAAATGTTGCCTCCGCTGTCGTGGCCGGTGTCACAGCTGAGGCGAGGTCATTGCTCGGCATATTCTCTCACCCTCATACTACGTCTGTCAAGGCCTGGCCTGCTCGCCTGGACGGCACCATCTGCTTTCCAGAGCTTGACAAGCCGGACTTCGCCATGCCGGGGCTGGGTGATAAGGCTCCGATAGCCACTACCCTGGGCCTAGGCTGTCTGCACGGCTTGCAGCACCTGGGCTTGCTGAACAGGGTCTGCTACCTCAGCGTGATCTCCGGTAAGTTGCAGTTGCTGGCTAATGTTCCTGCTCCATACAGGGACTCAGCATCACACACACGCACATTGTATCCCTGCTCATCTCATGTGACGGTGTGCATGTTGAATGCAGTCGGCCAAGTGGCTGGTTTGACTAGCTAGGTAGCTGGCTGTCTACCTACTTGACTAAGTAGGCCTGGTAGGCGATCAACATAGGCACATGCACAGTTCTCGTTTCAAATATATATCATCCAGGCCGGGGTTCACCTGGAAGCGAGGGTACATGTGGGACAGGTGAAGAGATGATGTAATGCTTGCTTGTTGGCCTGGAAGGAGATGTATGTGTATACATGTGTGTGTGTGTGTGTCTGTTGCATCTCGGTTGCATTACTCAGAGAGGTGTAACGAGCCCACCAAACAAGCCAGGTAGGGGCACGCCATCCACGGCGAGACGCCACATGGTCTCCTTGTTCTCATTCTCCCAGTGCACCCCATGCCATAAGCGTGCCAGGGTTGCCTGAAAGCGACTAATCTCGAGCAGCAGGGTAGTCACGCCTACCTCCCGTTTGGCCCACCGGTCTCAATCCACAATCGTACAACCACCGATTAACTGAATCCCCACTAAGACTCCGAACCAGATTCGATGGGACATGGTTGGCGTGCCCCGGTCCCGGAAGGCCATGGGCCACCCATACATGTCAGTAACAGGGGGCGGTGTTGGCTAGGCTAAATGGGTCTAAATGGGTTGGAATGAAGGCGTCGCATCGTAGCCCATCCTCGGACATTATGAAATGCTTTTTCCCATACTCTTAGTGTTTACAGCACCAGTCAACAGCAGCTGCACGCCCTCGTTGTGGGTTTCCCTACCCTTACGCCTACTCCACCACGAAATAGCATGTCAGTCAGCACCGCCAGCAGCCGCTGCTGGATGCCACCATGGTGGCGGCAGATGTGCAAACACATCCGTGCAAACAGCAGGTGCTCGTTGGGAGCTTTTTAAAGGGCTTCACATTTTGGGCATGATAATCAAGCCGCTTCAGCTCCCGATTGAATATCGCCCGCCCGCGAATTTTACGCACATACCTGTAAAGCCCGTGTTCCCGGCTTTTGAGAGCTGGCCTTTGCGCAGCTGGCCATGGCCTTCGCATTTTGGAGTTGTACGGAGGTTTTATTGGGCAGTCATACCTTGCATCTCGTTTGTATGAGAGCTGCTTAGGGTTTTGCGTTTCACTACGTACTGTAAGGACACAACGCATTCAACTCCAAGAAGTAATGTAAAAATGAGATGAACTCACCAGAGCTGGGATCCGGCGGCAAGACAGTACTTGCCGCAGCTGTACATCAAGAAAAAGCGAGGGTGCAGTATGCAGGTAGGTCATTTGTCATGAAATTGTAAAGGAACACACATCTTACTAACGGTTCGGAAGACCATGACCATGCATGGTATGCAGTGTACCAACGATGCGCGTGACAGACTGTGGACAAGCCGTGGACTTGGCAGTTCAGCATGCTAAAAGTCGGAAAGGCATGTAGCTACCAAAGCCACCAGAATCTTCGCAAACACAACAATGCTCATAGGTACATATTAACAGCCAAAAGCTAATGCAGGTCGGTATATCAGGAAGACCACGTGCATCCTGGATTCCCGATATGTGGCGGGTGCAGGTAGAGGCAGCGCGGCTCGCATGTAGTAGCAATCTTTATGCAGCATTCTTAACACCTGAGGTAGCTTCACGCGCAAGTTTGCAAAGGCTATCTGCAAAACCTAGGTTTGGAACTCGCCACCAACGCCTCGGTGTGCTAGCGGGAAAGGGCGTGCGTCCTGTCTACTCTCAACCACAATGCCTAAGCACCACAGCACAATTGAGGGACAATTCTCGCAGGGCTTGACGAGACACTCATAACGCCCTATGCGTCCAATGGCACTCCTAACGGCCCAATGCGCAAATTTTACAAGTGCGTGCCTGCAGTGGCGGTTTACAGGATACCAGCCTAACAATGCTTAAGTACGCGATTGCATACAACGGACCTTGGATAGCGGCCTTTAGAGCCAACTGCTGTCGAACAGTGAGGCCTGCTGCTTGTTCCGCATTCAGCAGGCGGAAAGCGCCGCCGACCTCGGCATCTACGTCAAACCCTAAATCTAAAAGGGCAGCAACAATTGGCGAAATGGAACTATCGTCCTCGCCCCCCACAGAAAGCAGGGCTTGCCGAATGGTCACCATGTCTAGGAAGACCCGGACCCTGTGTGCTAATTGTATTGAAGGTCACTGTAATGTTTTGCAGTTCGTTAGCGCGCGCTTCTGATGTATCATAGAGCCCAGGCCCACCCGAGCAAGGTACATCAGGGGAAAAGGAGAGAACGGGATTTTTGATTGCGATGCGGTACGGCATCGAGGATAAGGTTTGGTCGAGCCCCTGACGAGGTTGTCCGATTCAGCTCCTGACCCAAGCCCCAAGAAACATACACGCATATCGGTACCACAATCTAAGCTCCGGGGCCGAGACACACAAACAAGCACAACAGAACAACCATGTTTGGCTGACGGCGAGTATCGCCGGCCTGCTTTTGCTGCGATAACTTCAGACCGGGCTTCCTTACCTACAATAATTCGCTGCACTTGGGCGAGAAAACGATTTTGCTATTGCTGCTGCTGCCAGCCGTTTGCCGTGCGTCGTTAAGCACCCTCTTTACTGAGGAGGTTTTCCGCACGTTGAATCGAGGGATTGAAACAACTGCACAGGATGGTTTGGTCGGCTGCTGGCAGTAGCACTGACCTTTAGTTTGCTGCAGCTCTGATGCTGATCTTCGGGATTTTGCTGTTCTGCTGCTGCTACTACGGCTGCTGGGTGCATGGAGCCGACCGCCTGTCATGCATGATGCAACCCATGTTACATACGAACAGGCATGGTAGTCAACTTCATAGCTCATAAGCGGAGATCGCGGATCGTACGCGTCGTACTAATGCAGTACGAGAGTGAGCCGAGCCCCCTGGAAGCGCAAATGCGCCTTCGTTGCTGCCTGCCTGCGGGCTTCAAGCGCACCTTCAGATGGAAACTTCTTACTCAACACCACCACTGACACATTCAGCCTAACCAGCACAAAGGCCAATCCCTAACTCCGTGGAAGCGGGAGCAAGTGTAGTTGTGGCATCTGTACTGCACGACTCACGCGGATCCAGATCACGGCAATCAGGGCCCCCCAGGCCAAGCCAACCGAGATCAGCTCTCAACCAACCAACGGCGGAGCGATGCCACGCCGCACCATGCCAGGAGGTCGGTTGGGTCCACAGCTACCAGCCTTCGCATCGCACTGTCTTTACGGAGTCAGCCCAGGAGCTTAGTGAAGGGTTTGGGTCCGGCGAACAACTGAATTATACTACTAGAACACTACACGTGCGCACGGGATCCACCTTTTTTAACGTATGAATTACATACATACGACGGTACCGCGGTCCATCTCACACCTACCCTGCTATGTGTGTATGTGATTTATGCACGCCCCAAAACACAGCTCAAGGTGGCATCGTCCGCGTTTCTGCTCATGATGGTGGTGATGATGATGAGAGCTGATTCTTTCCAAAATTCCACAACACACACACACACTTTTACCTCGAGTATACACCTCTCTCTTGCCCGCCTTGGCGAGACGTGAAAACCACCCTTCACAACGTTCGATATAGCTCTTGTTAAGAAAAACAGCAGCAGCGGCGCTAGCAATACACAGACATCAATTCAACCACACTCGTCTTCCACTCTATCCGCACACTTACATGCAAAAACAGCGCCACCGCCGCTTTCACTTTACCACGATTACATCCCGTGCACCTACCCATACGAACGGGTCCCCCTCACCCGTCAATCCACCAACCCACATCCCACATCCAGTCCAGTCCAGCCCCCTAAGGTCCGGTCTCGGGCTCTCTCTCTCTCTCTCTCTCTCTCTCTCTCTCTCTCTCTCTCTCTCTCTCTCTCTCTCTCTCTCTCTCTGTGTGTGTATGGAGAGCTCCCACCAAGTAACACGACAGAAGGGATGCATGGATATGCACACGACGAACCAACGTCCCCCTTGGCACCCCCACGTTCGACCATCCTCATGCAGTGCTCTTGGTTCCTACGTCCCTCCCCAGCAAGGAGAACCACAAGCCGGAGAAGCAGGTAGGTTGCCAACTATTGGTGGTGGTGGTGGTGGTGGTGGTGATATTAGCGAGCGGTTTGCCGGGGTTGATGCCGCCTCGACTCCTCAGTTCAGTGATAATGAGGAGGACGGCGACGAGGACGACGAAGCTGTCGGTGGCTTGGGTCTCCCGGGCAACCCCGTCATGCAGCCCCGCTCCCGCTTTCCTGCACCGTGGCCCCTCGCTGGGGCCCCCTACAACCCCAGCTGTTCCCCCTTCCTCAGCGTTCCTTGTCCTTATGCCCTTCGTGTTGCCGCTGCCGCTGTCGTTGCTGCGGTGACTGCCGCCCCTCGCATTCTACTTGTTCCTCCGCCTCTTCTTCCTCTCCCCCTTGCTCCTCCTCCCCCTCCTCTTGCACTGCTACCCCTCCTTGCTGCAGCTGCAGCTGCAACTGCGGCCACTCCAGGAGGCGCAATCGGCCCCGTTTCCGCGGCGGCGGAGCCGGGGGCCGCACCCGCTCGTCGAGTGAAAGAATCCTTGAGAAGTGCTGTTCGTATGTCCGTGTGAATGCACTGATGTTGAGACCCACATTTCCCAGCAGCTGCTGCTTCCTCGTCACGTACCCACATCGGACACGCTTTCCCACATTCTTCTCTGACGCGTTAATGTAAGCAAACGGTGAGAAGGGTTGAAGATTAGCCGCAGCCATCGCTGCGAACATCAGACCGTCCAGCTGGTGGAGGACGGCACCGAATTGATACAGCCGTACGTCCTCCGCGTTTGCCGCCATCAGCTCGTCCATGTCGTACGGCACGAGCTCCTCCGTTGCACGACTGCTCCCCGCGACGCGCGCGTGCGCGCTCGAGAGTCCCACTCGCCAACCGAGTGCCATTTTAAGCCATAGCTCATCGATGTCGTCCGCTTCCAGCAGCACTACGATGTCGTACTGCAGAAGTACGAGCTCCGCTGCCTCCAGGTGTGTCGCGTTGATGGTGCCGGAGGGCAGGTAGAAAACTTCTTCACCCAGCAGCAGCCGAATGTAGTAGTTGTCGACGGCCGCTGGCGCGAAGGTTCGCCAGTAGTCAGCATCGCGCGCGCGGAAAAACGCCTCACTGTGTCTGCCGTACTCGGTACGGTAAACCTTGATGATCCACTTCACGTGCGACAGCAGTCGTGCCAGAGGCTGACGCAACATAACGAAATTTAGAAACTGCGGACACAAGTGCGCCGAGCGCCAGGCAGGGCTGCTGCCGTCGCCGCCCGCAGCGGCAGCGCCCGTGTTTGCACCGACACCTTCTTCCCCACCCTCAACCCCGTTTTGCTCCTCAGCATTCTCGAGTCCACCGTGTACGGCAAACTCGTTGGAATAGAAGGTGTAACGGTTGCGCTGCATGAACTCGTCCCTGTTGCCAGGACAGAACCCAGGACAAGAACCAGCAGGTCACCATTAGTGTCCTCATCCGATGATATGACAGTTAGATCGTTAATTAGTTAGTTAGCAAAACGAGGACAGCTGCGTGAAGGGCAGGGCGGATTTCGCCAGTCGTCGGGCGGGGTGTGGTTGCTTGCCTGCCCGTAGGGTTACCCCAGTCCAAACTGCAGCCGTGGACGTACTTACACCGCCGACTTACAGTCAGTCAGTCCATGTACCCGTTATCGCATGTGACCCATATTGCCCCACCCCCCGCTCAGGCATTTGCCAGCCAGCCAACCTGGTTCAGATAACCCACATGCATTTCCCAAACCCAACACAATTTGCTGACACCCGCACCTATACTCGCAGCTCCGATTGCCTCGCCGTACGGCATATCGATAGAACCACTTCCATCCGTTCAGGGGCGCCGATAGGTTGTGAACGGCTGCTGATACCCATCGCGGACGGTCATCAAAGCGGCGCACCATGCAATTGCCAAAGTTTGACGTACTCTCGGTCGTACAGCCGTTCTTATCCGCGACCGAGCACATGGACGTGCCGCCGGACTTTGATATGTGTAAGAACTCGATTGCGCCTTTGGCGGAGGCGCCTTGGCGGTGCAGATTGAAGAGTAGACGACAGATGCGGAAGAGGAGCGTCGCGGTTTCGGAGCTGTCACGCAGCGTCTTTGCCTCTTCGCTTAGCAAGGGCTCGTGCAGTAGCATTTGCAGTCGGACCAGGGACGCCAAGACGATGCGACGGGTTACGGGATGGCAAGACGCGGGGCTGAGGTCGGCCACCTGGGCGGCAATTTGGTTCAGCGTCTCCGTGACCGCGTTCGCCTTCAGCTCATCTCCACCGGCAACAACTGTGGCTGATAGATCGCGTGCTAGCTGCATAGCACGTAACGCAGTCTCGCTGCCTGTGATACTGTCGCTCAGCAGCTGCGCATTTGAAGGTGCTGCGTTGAAGGTGTTCCGAAGCTTCTCCGCCGCGCCTAGGATGAAATCCAAGGCTTCCTCCAGTTTAACCTTTTCCGTTTGGTTACCCAGTACGTTGCTGAAGCGGTGCACGAAGACTTGCTCCATGTGAAGAGCGCCATCGGCGTCAGTTTTCGCTTCTTCCTCATTTACGACTCCACGCTTATACAAACCTAACCTTGGTATCTTAATAGCACCATCCTCGCTTGCAGGGATCGGCTGGGCCTTGGTGCAGCACAAAATGCAAGTTGCCAGCCACACCACCACTGCAACAGGACGCGGCATGGGCGTCATCTATTTGGATCCATCTGTTTTCATTGTTGCGTGCGGCTGCAGCTACAGGTATGAAATTGGATGAAATCGGATATTTTGCAGCTCCAGAGCCATGCAGTAGCATGAACATTGGCTGGCCTTCGGGGCATCCTTGTCGAAGCAGACGGGCCTCGAATCCTGCCGGCTTCGGTCAGACGTAGGCTTTAGCTAAAATGCTCAACGCAACTGTCCCACATCGCAGATACGTAAAAGGTCCTGCCTCGCCGAACGGAATGCTCGCGCGCCATGAAGCTGCCGCAGCAAGCGACCTCCTGCACGATATCATCTCACTGCGATCTGAGGTCCTTCAGGAGTTTTCCAGTCAACACTACCCCTGAGTAAACAAATGGGGCCGGGTACCGATCCCTACTAAGGTTTACTAATATGAATTGATATGGCCTTAACCATCTGACAGTAACATCGCACCTCCCGTTAACCACGTCACAAAAAACGTGCTGCGTAAAGGCCGTACAGCTGTACTACTCGACGGGCTGTAGGAGCCCTGGCACTGTCGTTTTCGCGGAGCACGTGCGGTTGCGGTTGCGAAAGGACCGTGACGATGATTACTTTCCAACTGAATCACTGGCGGTTTATTTAAGGGTCGATAGTGAGGGTCGACAGCTTCACTTTGAGGACGAGCTGCCGGCGGTGAAATGTACGACCTGCCTGCATCCGGGGCCTAACCACAGGGACCCCAGCCCTACAGCTCGTAAACCTTGTGTTTTTGTGCGTTCACATATGCGTTCACACCCACACGCCAAACCTTACACCTCGCGGCTCAGTTCATTAAAATAACACACATACATACTGCAGCAGCAGCAGCAGCGGGGGCTAACGGAACCGATGGCAGCGGCAACGGAAGGGGAGGAGGCTGTCATACCGTCACCAGCACCACTGCTGACCAGCATGCAAGCGATGGATATGATTGCTGAGCGAATTGGGTGGCGTATACCTGGGATGGCGGAAGCCATCCCGATGGCACGCCTTACGGTTCGCCTGGCGACACAGCTGCAATGTGGGCCTATGGAGGAGAGGAGAAGACGCCTGGTAGCTGAATTTGTGCGGGAGGCGACGGATCCTCAGGGCCTGTCGCCGCCGCCCCCCTCGGAAATCAGCCTATTCAGGGCGACGCAGGCCCGCGTATGGTCCGGGGTGCGATGGGAGAATGAGAATAAGGAGACGTTATGGCGGCTCGCAGTGGATGGCGTCTCCCTACCGGGCAACACGCACCTAGCCCGCATGACTCCAGAACGCTGTGGATGTGGCGGATTCGGTGGAGCAGCTGGTCAGCCATGCTCGCCACGCATGCATCACTTTTGGGAATGCCCGGTGGTGCAGGCGGTGCGGGCACAGATCGACCGGCATCTACAGTCTTCTCAGGAAGCAGCGGTAGGGAGAGTCACCCGAAAGCAACTCTGGCTAATACTGGCCCCAACCGGATGCGAACAGGCCTTATGGGATGTAATCGCCCTGTCGGCCCTGTCGGCCATGGAGGTTGGCAGATGCTGCCTGAGGGCAGCGGGCAGGAGGCAGGAACGAGCTGGGAGCCAAGGACCACAGAACCGGGAGCACGCGCAGCAGGTGCAGGTACCCGGCCCCAGACAGAGGCGGATAACGGACTTTTTCATCCAGGCCGACGGGGCGGGACCGCAGACGGGGCCTGCACTGAATGCGCCGGGGGATGAGGACCAAACGCAGGAGCGGAACACGGCGACAGGGGCGGTAGCAGCAACGGCAGGCGCGGCGGCAGCAGCACCCGCAGCAACCCCCTTGGAGCGGGCCTGCGCCCGGGCAGTGGTGGACTTCTGGGCGCGTCTGCGCTCCTTCACGGTGCTGGGCACCCCGTGGAGAGGCTGGGACAGGGTGGGACCCGACCACCCGATCCTCTCGGTTTCAGAAGGCGCACTGCGGTGCGCCGAAGCGGTGGAAATTATTGCCTAAGAGCGCTTTGAGCTTAGTTTGTAGGGCAGGGCTCGGGGGGGTATAGGAGTTCGAGGGGGATGGGGGTTGGAGGACAAGGGAATAGGTGAGAGGGAACCCCGAGACGGGAGAGGGAGAGGGAGAGGAGAAGGACGGGGAATGGAGGCGGTCACGTCGTGCAGGGAAGAACCCTTTTTCTTCCCTAGTGCCGCGCCGAATCTGTAGGGTGCTGGAGAGCGGGGGGGAGGTGGGGTCGCTCGGACAGGGGAGGGGGGAGATGGCGGTGAGAGCGCCAAAAGGACGTAGGTTTTCTGGTGTTTGGGAGGTTGAGGTCTGGTGGTGGTAGCGGGGCTCGGATGAGGGGGAGATGTGGCCCGAGGAGGGCCATTCTATTTAGACACGTCTTCTCTGTGGGACTGGGTTGCTTGGTGAGGGGCGCGGGTGGGAGCGGTGCAGTACGAGACAGGGTGAATAGGTTTCTGGAGGACCAACCGTTCAGGTTAGAGGCGGTAAGGGGGAGGCGCCGCGCGGGCTACAATCCTCCCCCTGCGGTTCTCTGGAGGGTCTAGGAGCTGTGTGTCGTGGCAACGCTAACGCTTTGGTGGTTTCGCCGGTCTATCCCGGGCCCCTGCAGTGGTGATCAGGCTTGTGCGTGGTCCCTTTTCTTTATAAGGCTACTTCTCCCCTGGACCAGCCCAGGAAGGGACAGGTAGAGGGGGTCAGTTGTTGTAAGGTGGCTGCAAGACGTCTTGTGGTGTCGAGCTCTCTTAGCCTTTCTCTCTTGGAGGTTTTTTTTTGTTGGCTTGTTAGGTATATCAGGAGCCCTCCCCTGCCGGGACTGCCCTAACCGTATTTTTGTTTCTGTTTTTTTTCCCTTGGAATCCCGTTGTCGTTGGTGGTGTTTTTTGGGGGGTTGTTTCAGAGAGCCTTTGACTTTGCCCTAGCTGAGACTTGTGGACTCGCTCTAGCGGGACCTGAGAGCCCTTCGTGGTGTTCTCACTGCAGCGCCATCCCCGGATGGAGGGGCTGCGGAGTGGCTGCGTTGTGTGTTGGCAGTCTGAGTCGGGGTCGGGAGCACACAAGACTAACCGACTTGTGCTGTGTGCTCCCGACCCTTGCGCTGTGTTTCGGCTTCGGCCCCCGGCTCTCACGGCCCACAGTGTAATCTAAGTCATACATAAGCATGATCTGGCGCCATGCTACAGTGCTTTTAATGGCACGCTTCCACAACACCCCATGGGTAACTACCGTATGGGTTTCAATCGAACACCATGCGGCAACCGCGCCGCACGTTTACACCGCTAGAAATAACGCAGTTAAAGTTTAATATTGTCGTACATGTACGAACACAGGCCAGAAATGGGATACCCAGACACACAGACGAGTTCAAGTGGCTCTCGCCGGCTTGCGCGCGCATACACTATAGGCAGGCGGCTGGCAGAGGGTAAGGCCTGACGACTGCTCCCGGGGTGTCCGAGCTCAAATCCGCCTGTCAACCTCTCGGGTGTGTGAGAGGTGTTGACATGGGGGGTGGCCCCCCATCTTATGGACGGTATTGGACGTGAAATTATCAACTAGCGAGCTGACCAGGAACTAAGATGAGGCGCCGTTGATCCGCTGGATTTAGTTGGATGCTGGTGGTGAGTTGCTGAATCCAACGAATACATTCTGAAGCCGGATGGGGTGAACGGATTAGGGTGCCCCTCTAGCAGGGGAGAGCAGGGAACTGCCTCGGGAAAGGGGGCCGCTGGTGAAGCTACACCACCCTGTAACAACATACCCTCGCTTGAGGGGGGAGAAAGCGAGGGAAAGAGACATGTAGCCTACATAGGCAACATGTAACCTATCAACCACCCACATGTACGACCACCGCACGATCGTCCACGTATGATACATGTTCGTCTGACCGTGATCACTTTCGTACTCCTGTCGGCCCACCCACCCATATCCTGTGCTACTGCTGCCGATTTAGCCGGGCAATGCGTGTGGTCTTGGTGCCCGAGGAGTGTGCTGCGGCCCCACACATCCGATCCATCTGCAGGTCCGTCTTCAGGGCTCACGACGAGTTCATCACCTACGGTGTCTCGGCGACCAAGGGCACACATGCACCGTACCTACTCACACACAAAACGTAGAGCGTTCCTGTAAAGCCTCAGCCACCATTCCTAGGTCTCCCGACCCGCTACTGACGGGGCTGTGCAGTGTACACCACCCATCTCACTCCGCCACAGCTGCCGCTGCCTCGGTCGCTGTAGTCGTCGCCGCCGCCACAGCTGCCGCTGCCTCGGTCGCTGTAGTCGTCGCCGCCGCCACAGCTGCCGCTGCCTCGGTCGCTGTAGTCGTCGCCGCCGCCACAGCTGCCGCTGCCTCGGTCGCTGTAGTCGTCGCCGCCGCCACAGCTGCCGCTGCCGCACTGTTATTAGTAGTACTGTTGCTGCCGCCGCCGCAGCGCTTCCGCGCCTCTGCCACAAAGGCGCTCAGCCGCGTGTCACCGTACTCTTCAGCGATGTACGGCAACAAGAAGTCCTGCGGCGTGACGCGGCCGCGACAGCGCTGTGCGCCGCAACTGCAGTCGAAGGGCGCAGCCAGACTGGGGCCGTACAACGTGGCGAAATCCACCGAGATTACCTCACCTGCGGGTTATCGGCAACGTAGTTGACGCAGGCCCCGGGGGAATCAGGATGAAGACGTGGGTTGTTGCTTGGCGACTTCTCTCCTTTTCCTCTCCTCACCCTCACCCCGTACAGTTCCCCGTACAGCGTTCCTCCCACCAAGGCTCCCAAGGCTTGGTCTTTACTTATCTTTCTTGAATAAAGTGTTTCCGTTACTATCGGTTTTCTGTTAATAACGGTTTTTAGTATCCGTGGTATTCCGTTACTGGCGGTTCTTTCTAGGGTGTCCTCTTCTGTGTTCCTCTCCTCTCTCCCTCACCCAGTGCGATGTCCCTCCGCGCCACCAGGTCCAGGCCCTCAATGTGGGTGTTCGGTTCGCAGGAGTGGCTCAGGGGCATCCAGCGGGTCAAGTCAGCGGGAGGCAGCACCAGGACCTGGGGGGCAGCGGGGGCCAGGAGGCAGGGTGCAGAGAGGGCAGGGAGCAAGGGAGCACCAATGTAACATCCACAACACGTAATGTGGGGGAGAGCCAAACCGTTCCATATGACTCCCTCCCCTTTTCCACGTTACGGAACAACAACAACCACCACAACATGTTGCTTCTAGAATCGCAGGGCTGAGAAGGATTTTGGTTAATGGATGGTGGAAATGGTACTGCAAAACCCACCAGCCCTACCCCAACCCACGCACACAGACACACAGACCCGGTCGTTCAGCGGATAGGCTGCCTCGTTGACCCTCCTCCGCTCCCAGCTGCCCTCAGGCCAGGTCCGCTCCACCCAGTCGCGACTGCCGAGGGTGACCAGGGAGTTCTCGTTGCGCTGTACACGCCGACCAGCACGAATGGCCCTTACGGCTACCATGCCAAGACGCCGTACGTTGATGCCGCCAACCCGGCTGCTGGGCGGCGCAGCGGCGACGGTCTCTGCGCCGTTGGAGTCAAGGTCAACGGGCGGCGGCGGCGGTGACGGAAGTACTTGTCCAGTGCTGATGAAGGCCGGCGCGACTGCGGGCTGTTTGCAGCGGTGTCGATGCACTGCGGAGGCAAGGATGGAGGCGAGGAAGTGGCGGTGGCTGTGGTCAGGGTCCAGTGCGAGGATGTAATCCGCGGAGCCGGCATATTCCGGAGGTAGCAGCACGCCGCAGTTGGGGTTGATCTCCAGCAGATAGATGTCGCCAGTGCCGTCCTCCACCCTGAAGTCACACCTGGGCGGAATGTTCGGATCCAGAATTGTGTGGTTTTTATTATTTTGAATATAAATTTTGGATCTCGTATTGCTTATATAGTGAGGTTAGAAAAAAACTAGTTAGTTAACATCACCAGGTCCAAGTCCTTCCAGCAGCACCCATTTCCTCCACTATTTCCCCCTCCTCTGCACCCCTCCCAATTACCACGCGCATACATACACACAAGACGTCTTGTGGTGTCGATCTCTCTTAGCCTCTCTCTTGGAGGTGTTTTTGTTGGCTTGTTAGGAGCCCTCCCCTGCCGGGACTGCCCTAACCGAATTTTTATTTTCTGTTTCTTCCCCTTGGAGTCCCGTTGTCGTTGGTGGTGTTTTGGGGGGTTGTTTCAGAGAGCCTTTGACTCTACCCTGGCTGAGGCTTGTGGACTCGCTCTAGTGGGACCTGAGAGCCCTTCGTGGTGTTTTCACTGCAGCGCCATCCCTGGATGGAGGGCCTGCGGAGTGGCTGCGTAGAGTGTTGGCAGTCTGAGTCGGGATCGGGAGCATACAAGACTAACCGACTTGTGCTGTGTACTCCCGACCCTTGCGCTGTGTTTCGGCTTCGGCCCCCGGCTCTCACGGCCCACAGTGTAATCTAAGTCATACATACATACATACATGTACATACATGTAAAAAGGGGGCCGCTGGCGAAGTTAACCACCCTGTAATGGAGACATACATACATACATACATACCTGCCATAGCTGACCCCCCGGGTCGCCAAGAAGAAGTCACGAGCAGCAGCCTGTACGGAGGTCAAAGAATCCGGGAGTTATAAGTTATAAGTCTTCATGACGACACTTCTTAGGACAACTACCGATTGGAACCACCAGACGCAATAGCCCAAGAAAGTCACGAACGAAGACACGTCGGCAGCACTCGCGCCAATGTACGGAACCAGGTTTTCCGTCATTCCGAACCCCGCATCCTACATAGATCCTAACCAGGCACATACTGACCCCGAACTCCCCCATAGCCTTTGTATGAAGACCCGAGCCCCCAACAGTCACGTGGCTTGCAAGAACAACAGGAGTGCCCGCAAGCTCTTCTGACACTACCCCTCCCATATCCCCCCCAAGGCGGCCCCGTTACACCCATGCAGCGCCCCAACCAACTGTTCCAACCACCGCAACCACCGCAACCACCTTGAGTCTCTCCGCCAGCTGGGGCTCCCTGCAGGGCAGCCACTCCAGGGTATCCGCTTCTAGAAACTTCAGATCGAAATGTTTGAAGTCCTCCCCTGGGCCGAAAACACACTCCACGGGTGTGTAGGCCACGGGGATGAGGTCGGAGAGCTGCGGCTCGTAGTCGTCAGCCTCGGCACCAGCAACCGCCTGCAACAGCACCAACACCCGCAACGACACGGGAGCGAAAGAGGGGAAAGCGGGAGCACGACTAAGCACAGGCGATTGAAGATACAAATATACCAGAAATAGACGGATACTTCAAGATTCGAGCAGCAATATGAGGGGGACTGCGTTGTGGGGGGGGGAAAAGGGGGAGTTGCGTTTTTTGGGGCGATGTGATACCTCGTGTGGATGTGGTTGGGAGGTTGCCTTAGCGGGAGTGTGGATGGCGCAGATGACCCGGGGAGGCACCGCAGCTGTTGAGACGTTCGGCTTCGTTTGGATTTGGATTTGGATTTGGTTTATTAATTCACCACCCACTCCCAGCGCACACTTCACACCTCCTTGGTTGGCTCCTCCACCACCAGCACGGTGAACTCCCGACCGACAATGAACTCCTCCACTAGAGCACCGCCGAACTCCCGTACGAAGTACGACACCTGGGAACAGAGACGTACGATAAGGATGAGCCGCGGCAACGTCGGATCAGGTCATGTAGGCCGATGACCGGCAACGGCGAGCAGGTGATGGTGGGTGAGTCCAAGGGCCCTCGGCGGGCAGTGCCACTGCGGCATAAACCTCTATCTGTCTGTCTGTTTGTCTGTTTTTCTGTCTGTCTGTTTCCCTTCAGCGCTGACTTGCTCAAATGCCCCACGTCCCCTACCCTCGAACCAGCTACAGGCCCCCGTCAGTGTCGCAGGCGCCAGAAGACGTCCTAGCCGCCCCCATCTTCCCCTCCCCTCAACACGCTGGCTGAAGGCCTCTCTGGCTGCCTCTGTCTCCCTGGCTGTCTGTCCCGTCAGTCGTCTGCTTATCAGGCAGTCTGTCTGTCTGTCCGTCTGTCCTAGCTCCCCAAAAAGGAAGCTAGCAGGGCCCCGCCCTGCCCCGCACCTGGTGCCGCAGCTCCTGCGCGTTGGTGACCTTTGACTTCTTACTCATACCGACACTGCCGTACCCGCTAGGGTGCTTTACGATGAGGGGGAAGCGCAGTCCACCGCGCTCCGGAGGCCCCAACACCTCGGCCACACCAGCCTCCTCCTGCCCGGGGCCGCCCTGGACGTGCACCCAAGCGGGGACCTGGGACGGCAGGGCCAGGGAGGGTGCACCGCAACGGGGACGGGGATAAGTGATGTACGGAAGCCGTACTACTACAAAAACAGTACGACAGGAAAAGAGTGAGAAAAACGTTCTTTTGCGGGGACACGGAGAGCGGTTTGAGGCGTTTAAGGATTGGAGGCTAGAGGGGGCAGAGAGGATGGGCCCGGAAACCTGTCCAATGGATTGCATGAGCTGGATAGCCGTTAGCCAATAATAGGACGAGAACTGGGTTGCGGCTGGCGCGCACATATCTCTCCCCTAACCTGGAGAAAAGTGGGCCTTACCCCTATGCCGTAGAAGTATGCGGCTTTCTTCATGTCGATTTTGGACGGCTCGTAGAACGCTGCGTCGGCTCCAGTGTACGGCACATTGAGCCTGTTGGGTCGGTCGCCGGCGGATGGCCGTGTGTGCGTGTGTGTGTGTGTGCGCGTGTGCGTGTGTGTGTGTGTGTGTGTGTGTGTGTGTGCGCGTGTGCGTGTGTGTGTGTGTGTGTGTGTGTGTGCGTGTGCGTGTGTGTGCGTGTGTGTGTGTGTGTGTGTGTGTGTGCGTGTGTTACTTATCTTACCGCCCTTCTATGGCCGGGGGACGCTACCCGCCCCCATAGGTGAGACCGCCGCGTGTGTGTGTGTGTGTGTGTACATATGTGTGTGTGTGTGTATCTCCAGAGGGCAAAAGTACTCTCGCTTGGAACACAGGTTAGGGTTCCCGTTATTGGTCAGTTGCCAAGGTGGATACCAGGGACAAAGGTTACACGGGCGAGCGCACAGCGCGGGACGAAACACGACGTGTTGGGCGTTTTCATTTCCCTTCCCTTGACAGCACACACAGGTTGAGGTGGAAGCTCTTTGTGGTCCCCCCCCGTGAGTAAATCTGCGCCTATCGCTCTCGCTCCGGCGACTTTAACAGAACCTTCGTAATTTCGTATTGCCCATATGTATGGAAATTTACTATGAACCGACTAGGAAGACCCCGACTGCCGGGTTTCCGCAGTTGGAAGTGTAACATGCTTAACAGCCTTCATTGCTGCTCATTCAGTACCTTTCCAGGGCCTCCACCACGTCCTTGCCGGCGCGGTCCTCGTCCCAGGCACCGTCGCAGAGATTCAAATACACATCGTATAGGCCGCTGTTGACCAGTTTGACAAGGTCGGCTGAGCTGCTGGCCTTTTTCAGAAAGATGTTCGTCCAGTCGTATCTGCCCTCCACGTCGAACAGCTCCGGCTGCGTACGAGTCCAGGAGGTTGCCAATCCAGCAAGTGATGTCAAGACGGTAGAGGTCGACGGCACGTTGAGTGCCAAGCAAGGGAATACATGTGGTGCGCGCGCAGCTGCTGGTTTCCGGAAGGATGCGCACCTTGCAAGTCCCGTCCACATCCTCCGTGAAAGGGCCAGAAGTGCCCTCCGCGCTGGGATGAAGCACGCAGATTCGAAGTTTTCTACCTGGAAGTCCGATAATAGCTCCGCTCATTGGAGCCGCATCCGCCGACGTTACATTGGGCATCTCGGTTTGCATGTTGGCAGGAGCTGTATCTCCAAAACCGTGAATCCGCTGTATAGCAGTTAAATTATACCAATTGTTTTAAAGTTTCACTTTACGCAATACATACTTTCCATCGCTCCTGGTACGTATGTCGTTGAACTGAAACTTGCAAACGTGTTGCTTTCACTGAATAGCCGATAGGTTTAACCACCATTTAATCGCGTCTTTTGTATGTCAACGTCGAGAGTGAAATACTAGCAGGAAAGTGGGTAAATTGCTGGGTACGGAGAAATGTGTGACCTCGTCGTCCTTCGATTAGCTTTGTGACGTTCCTTGTATACACTGAGGGCTCTGGCAGCTTCTTATGACAAGTTTAAACCATCTATCCTGTGGAAACCTCGCTCACAGGTGACGCCATGTAGTACGGGGACGGGCTGTGGACACACCCCTTCGTTCTGCCCTTTCTTGCATGCATCTAATAAAAGCATCGCGTTTGTATTGTTCTGCCGCGCATCGTTAATCAAGGACTGAGTCAAGCTACCCTATAAAACGTTATTTATGTCGACACTCACAAGGGAAGAGCTTGCTGGCCGGTGCGCCTCAACATCATTCGATGAAGTCGCGTTATATTACGAGGAAAAAAAGGTTGTCTACACCCACAGCTTTCGCGACGCGCAGGGAGCCGTACTAGAGGGCTTCCGAACCGAGGTTCATTTCTCGGCGCTGCAGCCACGGCCGCTCACACCGCCTGAACAGCGCGCACTGCTCTCCTTGGGGCTATGTCACAGCACTTACGTCTTCCTTGCAGCGGCGAAGCGCACTCCGTTGCTGCAAATCCGCGCCGGATACTTCTCCTCAGATGAGCTCGCTTACTTTCAACCAGCGCTCGCAGGCGCACTTGCCGAGGTAAGCAGTCCCAAGCCATGTACGGCCTACAGTACGGCGCGCCTTGCAGCGCAAACTCCACTCCACCCGCACATGGCTCACCTGATCACTGTCCATAGCTCCGTTTCTACTATTACTGAAGATAGAAGATGACCCTGAATTTAACCCCAAGCCCCAACCCCCCCTTTCCTACCCCCTTTCTCCCCCCTGATCCCCCTTTTCCCCGGTCGCTCATCAGTACTTTTATTTAGCTGACTTGGACCTCGCAAGCTTCCGGCTGGAGTGCTGCTGCAGCTCCCCCAGCTCCGAAACCCCCAACTACCCGCTGCCATCACCATCACAATCGCCATGGCCGCCAGTATCACCTCTACGGCCGCCAGCGCCAGCGCCAGCACCGGCGGCACCACAAGCCACCGCAGAGGCGACGCAGGTGGAAACGGACGCGGCCCTACGACACCCTCCCGACGCCGGTGGAAGCTTCCCAGAAGTAAATGCTCCTACTTTTATAACAGCAACAGAGCAGGCAACAACAGCAACAACAGCAACAACAGCAACATCAATGGCAACAGCAGAGCAGACAGCATCAACATCAACAGTGGCAGCAGCAGTAGCAGCAGCAACCGAGCAAGGCCCCTGCATTTGGTCTCACCCCCGTGTACTGGTTCCCTTCGGCGGCGGCAAGGACTCCACCTTGCTGATAGAGCTGCTCAGCCGCATGGGCGCCCAAGTAGGCTGGATGTACTACGGGGAGTGGGTCGGCTCCTGGGAAGTCTACACGAAATTCGGTCGGCTGGCGGCGACGTCACCCGCCGCCGGCGCTGTCGTACTGGCGGAGCAGCACCTGCCCTGCCTGGAGCGGCTACAGGAGCTCAACCAGGTTCCGGAGCTGCCGTTTCAGGATTACAGCGCGGTAAGGAGGACAGGGGAGGTTTGTGTATCAAGTTACAAGTTACAAGTTCCGCACACAAGTGCGGGTGTGTCCGTAAAAGCCGGGGGGGCCATGGACGTTGTATCGGTATTGATGCGGGTACGCGGGAGGTCATTATCATTCTCCCTCGTTCGCTTCAGGGCAAAGCGCCTCAGCGCGACATGCCTGGCCTCCCAGATGTCCGAGAGGTACCTGGCCAATGCCAGGGGTGGCGCCTCAGTCATAATGGTGCGCATGCTGCGCCCCATAAAGACTAGGTCACCATCATACTTAGCCCGTATCCTCTTGTAAGCGGGACATTCATCGAAAACATGCAACTCAACTATATCTGTGTCTGTGTGTCTGTCCGTGTGTCTGTCTGTCTGTCTGTCTGTATGTATGTATGTATGTATGTATGTATGTATGTATGTATGTATGTATGTATGTATGTATGTATGTATGTATGTATGTATGTATGTATGTATGTATGTATGTGTGTGTGTGTGTGTGCGGTGTGGGAGGTGGTAGTGGTTGTGGGAGTAGGAGTGATAATGAGCCGGATCGTAACGGGTTCCAAAACACGAAATGGTAAAAAAATCGTACACGTGGGCGAAGAAAGTTAGAGCGCCAAGGACCGGGCCCCGGCACTGTTTTCCATTGTTCATCGCTCGCCGTACGCAACCCACCCAACCCCGGCATCGCTGAGCACTTTACTGCGTCTTAAAACGCCCCTGCCGCATTTCTCTTTGTACGACGGCACTCGTCGTACATGCAGTACGTCTCGTTCTACACATTTTCCTCGGCGTTCTTGGCTCTGCAGCACGACTACGAGTACATCTGTGTTGGAAACGAATACTCGGCGAATGCCATCAACACAACCCACCCCAAGTGAGTGGGGGCGGGCGCGCGATAATGCTACTCTTACTGTAAGCCCCGTGTGCCGGAACTGGACGCGCTAAAAAGCGTTACAAAACCCTAAAAGCGCCAAGTTCTGAAGGCCCGAAGAGCCTAAAACCCCAAACCGTAAAGTTACCAAAACCCAGTTAGGAGTTGGGAGTTGGACTCGGGTGAGTAAACGTGGTGGTTGAATGATGCAGGCCAGAGGTCGGCAAATCGGTTTCTATGGCTGCGAGAAGGCAATAATTTGGGTCAGTAAACCTAAAAACAAAAGACCCTATTTCACCCGGGTCACCCGCGAGACGGAAACTGCTTCTGCTAAGAACTCCACTACTCCTCCTCTTCCTTTTCTTTATTTCCCTGCCATAGCCCTGGCGCCTGGTTTTGCCCACCGTCCGTAAGACTTCGCTCAAAGCTCACGCCAAAGCGGAACGCTTGCACAAACATTTGTCCGCACGCGCACGGCGCACCCTGTCACCAGCTCAAGCAAATAAACCTGTTTTGTATATGTAATGTTCAGGTACAACTACCCCGTCAACCACCAGTACGAAAAGTCTTTTGAGGCAGAGCGCGCCTTCCACAAATTCCTTCGGAGCCACATCCACCCGCGGCTCTACTACTTTAGCGGCCTGCAACACATGACCGAGCTGGAGATAGCAAAGCGCTTCGCCGCACTCTGCGCGACCAAATACCTCCACTTGATCATCAGCTGCAACTGGGCCACGGACGACCACTGGTACGACAAGTACCGTACATTACGGCAGTTTTGGGTTCGCTAGTGTTGTCGTACCATGAATGACGCTGTACGGGCTTTGAGTTCTGTTTCATGATCCTAGGAAAGCTGAAGAGAAAGATGTCAAACAGCAATAAATAACACTTTACCCCTTCTCCTCTGCCCCCGCAGTTTTAGGGTCCTTGTGGAGGAGCTCTTCTTGAGGCGGGATACTAGGTTGTTGTAGAGGGAAGGAAGAAGAGGCTTACAAGAGGCTTATTATGGAAATGTAGTCTTGCAGTCCTGTCAGTTCCGGGTTCCCACAGCCCTCCTTGCTATACACCCACGTGCACCACGACGCGTATCATGACATCTGCACGCCTCTCCTCGGAGACAGCCAGCCCACCTCCCCTCCTGAACGGCCTTTCCCCGCCACAAACAGCACACAACCGCAATTACCGCACTTACTCTGGTCGCCTCTCTTGTTCAGGTGCGGTGGATGCGAGAAGTGCGCCTTCGTGTTCCTGCTCTTCGCGGCCTTTCTGCCAGTGCCGGATATCATGTCTAAAATCTTCGAAGTGGAGGTGGTTTCGGAGCCCGGGGCTGCTGAGCCCGGCACTTGTAGTGATGGTAACGGGGACGGTGATGATGGGCACGGCGACCGCGAATGCGGCAGCAGCAGCCGCGGGTGCGACGCAACCAGCAGCCCTATTGTACCTGGCTCTCGCACCGAGTCCCTGCGGGGCGTGTACGACATGTACGACTCGGAGCGTCACGTGCCGGTGTTCGAGTCGCTGATGGGCCTTGCGGGACACAAACCCTTCGAGTGTGTAGGCACGCCGGAAGAGTGCCTGGCGGCGATGTATCTAGCGTACGAACGGCTGTCTAGCGGCGGCGGCGGCGTGGCCTACGACTGCAGCGCGGCGGCGGAGTCGGTGTTAGGACCTGAGCGCCAAGAGACGGCCGGACCGGGTACCGAGCAGCAGCAGCCACAGCAGGCGCAGCGGGTCGGGGCGAGGAGGTTGCCGCTGCTGCTACGGAAGCACCGGGACCTAATCTGCAGCAGAGGCAAGGAGGAGTGGGAGAGGATCCGGGCGGTCATCCAGGAAGTGGAGGAGATGGGCCGGCCGGGTGTGCCGACGTTGTACCCGAGCTGGTTCCAGTTGGGCGTGGGGGGATGACGGGGTTGGGAACGGAGGGGGTTGTTGGGGGATTCATTTTCTCAATCTGGTCGGGTAGCTCAGCACGGACGGTTAGCGTGGTGGATGGGTAGATGCAGGGGGATCGAGCGAGAGGATGGGTTGGGCGGGGGGTAGGGAATTGGCCATCTGTTGTTATCTGTGTACATAGTGAATGGTGATTAGGTGTGTGAATGGGCGGGGAGGGGATCGAATGTTCATGCAAGTATACGCAGGTGCTTGAGCAATAGCATAATTTATGGTTTTATGAAGCAACGTGCGGTGCTATATGAATCTGTGCAGGATTCTGCTGCAATCCTAAGCGCGACGTGAAGCTAAAGAAGTGCAGGAAGTACTATGCAGAGAATACAGTGGTGACAACAGGTTTGATGACCGTGAGGAGTTGTAAAGAGCTATGGCTTAGGAAGTCTATACCCGTTATGGCGCTGCTCTTTTCCGTTCCGTCAAACTTTGCAGTAAGTAAAACGCCGCCGTATGGCTTCATTTCTGCTGCGGCGTCCTGTCCCATGCCCAAGGAACCAGACATACGTGAGCGACGTGTGTTATCAACAGGTGAACAGGTGAGGATGGTTGGCGCAGTGAGTTTGGAGACCAAAACCTAAACATGTTCGGCCCCAGCCCCTCCAACATGCGTTCAAACGGTTATGTTATTCAATCATGCCGAAGGAAGTTTAGGATAGGAGATATTACGTTGCAAAACCTGACCTATCTGGAGGCCCTGCCTATCTGAGCATGCCTGTAAAATGTCAAGGTACACTTGTTGTACGCGCCGCAAGTACTTGCTCTGTGATAGTTCAAACGTACGAACCAGCCAAGCCTTGTAAAGCGTTTTTTTGGAATTTTCATGTGCCAGGAAAATAGTACTGTCCGGCCTGCAGTGAGCACGCATATCCTTGCCAGGCGTCGGTGTCTTGGCCTGGTCTATACAGTTTCACGAAGTTTGAATTATAATGTTAAATTCTATTATAATAATAGGGATGTATATCAGCTAAGATTTATACCCCCGACCGTGCCGGATGTCGACGGTGAAGTCTCCAGCGTCTTTAGTAGAGAACTCTTACAGCTGGAAGCGGAGCCCGCAAAATACTGATTTCCAAAGATGGATTCCTGTGAGCAACACACGCCTGACGTCTTGCGACCTAATTGTACTCCCAAAAGTGGGGGAAGCACTCCTTATCTCGGGCAGCGAGAACCACATGTCTTTATGGGAAGTAGGCAGTAGCCGTTTACTGTGGAAGTATTTGCCCAGTGAAATCGAATCCACGAGGCAACGGTCGTCTACTCAGTTGAGGCAGTCTACAATTACGGCATGCAGGGCGATCAGCACAGATGCATTTTGCACCAGCAATGCTGAGGGATCTGTCCAGCTATGGAGGCTTGCCAAGGTAAGAAGCCTTGCCATGTCCGATTACGGAACACTTCAAAAATCACACAGCAGTAATTCACGATCTATGTTACTCATGGTATTCAGATTTATCACCTAAAAACCTTCCCGCTGTACTTCACACGCCAGCAGCACGCGTACCCTCTGTCCTGGTTAGTTCGACTTTCCGGAGCAAACTCAATTCCATGGGAAACCAGTTCACCTTTGCTCTTGCTATGTTCTTCCTTTCCTTTGGACCTCTTAAAAGCCAACGGCCCAATTTTTTGCGAGCCAAATGAATTTGATCCTGAGGTCGCGCCTCAGCCGTACCTCAGCCCACCCTAGCGCACATACGAACACAGCACAAGATTCATGGTCATCGCTATCGTTGTCCTTAACCCATGTGTCATGAGCACACCGCAGGAGCCTGGGGAGTCCAGTGCTTGGCAGGCTTCCTGCGTGGCACAGGAGGACAAGCACACTGCGGAGGTAACCAGCATGTCCGTGTATCTCAACGGCGCACGCATCATGACCACTTCCAAGGACTTTACCGTGAAGATCTGGGACACCTCCAACATGACCGTTGTGCGGACGTTCGAAGACCATGAATGCGAGGTGATTAGGAGGTAGCTGCACGGGGCCCCCTCCGAAACCGTACTTGCAGCAGCTGACTCCCCCCTAAGAACGGGTCCCAGTTGCTAGGAGCGGACTGGGAGCGGGGGCCCCCCGGGGCTGGGGACCGGGTTTACCGCTTTGTACTACTTCCGTACAATAATGCATCCATCCGAACCATTGGGGTGTGCAGGCACATGAGCAGGCGCATGAGCAGGGTTTGTGGGGCCTGGCTTGGGGGTATATGGAAGCCTGAAGCGTGGGAACCAACTCCTCTGAAGGAAGACCAGGACGACGTGGGCCAGTGCATGCATCAGTCCTTTTACCATTGAAGTTAGCAGCAGGCCATCAAGGCCACTTCAAGCATCCTCATCAAATATCGCACTCAAAGCCCCAACTTACCATGTACGGCACAGGTGTACGGCTCTGCCGTAACGGAGGACGGTATGCGCGCCATTACCTCCGGGGAGCTGGAGCCGGAGCGCTCTTCCGTCATCATCTGGAGTCCGGAAAGTGGCAAGGTGCTGCACTCGCCCACGGACCACAGCGGCTGGCTGGATGTGTGCGCCATCAGTGGACCCGCCGGTCTTGCGGCAGTGACCGGCGTCCACGGCATACTGTTCGTGTGGGACATCGAGTCCGGGGTGCAGCGCTACAGCACCAAGTTCAACGTGGGGTCACGTAGCTGCTGCCGCTTCAGCCCCTGCGGCCTGTTCATTCTGGTGGGAAAGGGTGCGGGACACGGGGCAAGGCGGTTGGCCGGTGGGCTGGGAGTTAAGGACTGGGGATGGAACGGGGGGAGGTAGTGGTGCTGGCTGTCTAACTAGCCGGCTGTGGACCTGGGAGGAGTCCAGGACAACCGGGTCTGCACTGGAACAGAAGGACCTATGAGCCAACTGAGCGGGTTGGGCGGGGCTGCACTCTTCTCCGCCACCATCACCGCATCTCAACCCTGCTGCCACTGTCAGCAACTGTCGGGGACCGTGAGCTCTTATTGTGTGGTTGAGCTGCGGACGTCCTAGGGTCTCTGGGGTGCAGGCGGGGTGGGCGGAAGAGGCCTCTGTGATGAAGCTCCTCTGCATCCAGGAGGAGCAATGAAGGGGATGTGCGGGGTGTTCGGTTTATATTTGGGCGGCGAGCTGGTGTGGATAAATGAGATGATGATGATGATGATGATGATGATGATGATGATGATGATGATGATGGTGATTACAGAAGTATATGGAATCGGCCTCTACCTGCACTCGTACCTATTAAACCCTCGGCACGTGCACCGGGCCACCTCTCCGGTTGACATGCAAGCTCCACTGCTGTAAATATTCCTGGAGGGTATGGACGTATGCATGTATATATGTATATATGTATGTAATACGTATGTACGTCGCCTACCGTCTAGTGTCTGTCCCCGGGAAACGTGACACATTGCACTGCGTTCGGAAATGTACGGCTGCAGGTTGGCGGGTACGACCTTGGCGAGCTGGTGCTTGTGGAGTCAAGATACGGCCAAGAGCTCCTTCGCGTGCACTGCAGCCAGGTGGGTATGGGGGGTTGGGGGATTCCTCTGAAGACAAACCCGGGTTGTCAATGGGGGCCGTCACTCACCCCTCCCACCTCATTGCCGACCTGCCTTGTTGAGTTCTAGTTTCCATTCTCATGTCTCCGTGTGGCACCAGCTCTCGAAACACAGCCGAAACACGGCCGCGTGCTGACGCTGAGCCGCGCCTGTGGGTGCCCTATTAAGAGTCAGCAAAGCGCCATGGACCCCTCGGGTCCTATTACTGCTGTTACCATTCACTGGTGTATTTGAATGGTACTAAAATGGGACCTAACTAACCGGGACTAACCAATGCACCTCGTGGCCCTGCTTGGGACCGCCCCGCAGGAACCGGGTACCTTCAACACCGCGATGGGCTGCTTCTTCCTCTCGGACACCCCAGGCTACAGCAGCGCTACAGCTGCCGCCGGTGGTGGCGGCGGTGGCGGCGGCTCCCCAACCAAGCACTCTCCTAGCAAGTGCACGGTGACAATAAGCGACGGGAACATGAGCGGCAACAGCATCGCCGGCGGCGTTGGAGCCGCCGCCGTCACTGCTACTGCTACTGCTACTACCGCCGCCGCCGCCGCCGTCGGTCTCCACGCGGGCTTCCTGGATCGGTACTACAGTATCGATCCGGAGGAGAAGGCGGCGGCGGAGCAGCGCAAGACCAAGGCAGCACTGGTTGCCAGGAGCAGCGCTGGTAGCGTCAGCAGCATCGGCAGTATCACCCGCGGTGGCGGCGGTGGCGGCGGCGGCGGCAACAGTAGTGGCAAGGTCAGCGGCGGCGGCGGCGATGCCGCTGGAGGTCATCGTAGCATCCGTTTTGGTCGGACCGGTAGCCGCGTGGCGCCGGTGGATGGGCCGCAGTTCGGCTTTCCCACGCGGTTCGGGGCGGTGTTTGCGGATGGAAGCATCCGCGTGTTCAACATGAATGGGGACAGCTTTGATGACGCACTGTGGCGGGATGAGCGGATGCAAGACGTGTACGACGCTGACGTGTCGCGCGACGGGACGCTGTTGTTCGTCATTTATAAGGCGGGCCGCTTCCAGGGTGAGGCTCGATGGTGAAACGATTGCAGCGGTAGCAAAGCTGTGGAGGGTGGTGCTCGCCTGCGTGTCTGCCTGCGTGCCTGCTTGATGAATTTTTACCGCCCAAAACATAAAGCTGCCAAGGAAATGATGCATAGCTAGTTCATAGATGCAACAAACTACTACACGGAGGTGGGCTGCGGTGGTTGCATTTTGGGTTCCTCTCCTCCCCCCCCTCCCCTCCCCTCTCATAGCGCAAGTGAAGCCTTTCTCCTCCTTCTCCTCCACCCTTGCTTCCATTCGTCCTGGAAGCTTCCCTTTCCTACTCTGTTAACCACCGCATCCACGCCCCCCGCGATCATGCAAGCCGCGAAAAGGACACCTAACGCATACACACACCCGTCGTACACGTTTCCGACGTACAGAAGAGCTGCACCTGTACGACTTCGTGACGGGGGAGCTCGTCTGGAACCACTGTACTGCACACAAGGGCACGTACGGCCTGTACCTCGTGGCTAGTGGTGATGCGGGGTTGGTACCGGATGGTGGCGGTGTGGGGGAGAGCCGTCCAATGCGCGGGAAGATGGTCACCGCGGGCGGGGACCGGAAGGTCCGGCTGTTCGACCTGGCCAAGCGCCAGCTCATACGGGTAAGCGCAGTAAGGAGCAATGCATGCGGTCAAACAACGGTACGCGCAGACTATATATACAGTATATATACACTTACATATAACATGTCATTAAGTCATTTATCATTAAATCATTTATCATTAAATCATCGTGTTTTAATGATCGATTTCCGGAGCTCCGCGACGAGGGAAATGTCGATAGGGCGGGTGGTACACGGTGGTACAACTTCATCACACCAAGAAGCGAGAGCTCCGAATAGATAGTCACCAGCGACATGTGGTAGAAAATATGCGCGTATGTTTGTTTTGTTTCTTTCTTTCTCTCTCTTTCTTTTTTTCCTCTCTCATCCCAGCGCTCACCTTCCTGCGCCACTTCTCTTGAATCATCTCCCCACTGACCTCCCTCCCTCCCTCCCCCCCTCCCTCCCTCCCCCCCTCTCCGCAACCCCCCTTGCTGCCCCAGATGATCGACACGGCGCACTCTCAGGACATCGTGTGTCCCCAGGTCAACGAGAGATTTGACCAGATGCTCACCACGGCTGACGGCTGGGATAAGTGGACATGTCTGTGGGACCTCAACACGGGCAAGATGCTACGGAAGTACGACGAGATCCACAATGAGGGAATCTACGACGCCTGGTTCACCCCCGACGGGCTGCGGTGCGTGTCGGTGTCTTGTGACAAGACAGCCGCCATCTTTGAGCTGCAGTCGGGTGAGCTGGGGAGGGGACTGGGGGAGAGAATGTGTGCATGGATGGATGGATGGAGGGGTGGAGGGAGGGAGGGGTGGATGGACTTCACCTTGAGTAGCGTTACCCTTTGCAGAAGCGTAACGAGTGCGCATACTAGCAAAGTGTTTTGCGGCCCACCTGCTCTGCTCGTGCTGCCGCTGCCGCTGTGCGTGACACCAATGGGCCATCTGGGTCATTTATTAACGCACTCACGCAGGCGAGGTCATCCAGCGCTTCGTTGGGCACGAGCACTGGGTGCGTTTCGCGGCCCTCTCACCCGATGAGAAGATCCTCGCCACCGCCTCAAACGACAACACCGTGCGCATCTGGAACGTGGCAAAAGGCAACGTGCTGCACATCATTCGCGACCACCGAGGCACAATGTCGTACATCAATTTCGTACATCCGACATGGATCGTGACAAGCGCCAGGGATGGCACTATTGTGGGTTTCAATCTTAAGGTGAGCACGGTCTCGGGAGCACTGAGTGCGTGTGTATGTAAATCTGTATGCTTTTGCATATGTTCAAGGGGCAACCCCACAGCGGCCTACACCAGGGCGCACACCTGCTTTGCTTTGCCCCTTTGTTCTTAATATAACGACGCCTCAGGGGGAATGTATTGGCATTGCCTTGATCCTTGATGCCGCGAGTGAGGACTTCTACTGCCGAAGGGAGGATTCGAAAGGGGGAGGGCAAGAAAGGGGGAGGCTGGGTGGGAAAAGGGGTGTGGGGGAGTAATGAGGAGCTGCAGGATGGAAGCGGCATCATGGCACATAATTGGATGATGACTATGTAGAAAGCCAAGCACCCGTTACTACGGGAAAGGGGAGGAAAGATGCCAAAAGGCCAATGGCACTGCAGCAAGTCCAATGCCCTCCTTGACGGGGGATCCGTCAGGCTACCCTCCTGAACTGACGTGACGTGGCGTGACCTGACCCGGGATGGGAACCCACTCCCCCACACGCCACCCTACTTGTGTGTCTTTGTCTTCTTCTTCCTCCTCTTCTTCTTCTTCTTCTTCTTCTTCTTCTTCTTCTTCGTCGTCGTCGTCGTCGTCGTCACCGTTGTCGCAGTCCGGGACATCCGTGCCTCTGCTGGTAGCGGGCCCCATCGGCAAGCAGGACGGCGCCGAGAAGATCAGGCCCATGCCGCTGCGTACCGGGGTCGCGGGACCCAGGTTTCCGCCGGTGCTGGCGGTGTCGCTCAACGCACGTGTTGCCGTACTGAACCTCTCTGTTCGGCAACCTTTGCCGCGGCAGGTGTGTCTGTACGTGTGTGAGTCTGTGTTTTGGGGCCGGGGTGGTGGTGGTGGGGTGTTATCAGGGTGACGGCGGGCACCTTGGGGAGAAGGCCTTCTTGCTCAAAAAAAGGTTCCCAAGAGCCGTTCCTAAATACGTTCTAGAGTGCGCCGAAAAGGCGTGAGTTCGTAAGCTGGGTCGTATATCGGGAGTGGTGGTATATTAGGAGCTGGGTTTGTACTACTCATCGCCTCCCTCCCCTCCCCTCTCTTCCCATTTTCTTATCTTTTCTCCTCCTCCTCGTGTCCCCATCCCCAGCTCCTGGAGGAGATGAAATCTGGTCTGTGGGACCTGCAGCATGTGATCAAACTGGCCGACACCTTCCCGGGTCTGGCGGTGGTGCCCATGCCGGACGGAAACACGCTGCTGCACACGTGCGTGTGTAAGGGCGGGCGGGGGGCCCCGGGCGGGCGAGGAAATGCGCGGCTAGTCAACCTGGGAAACCCGGGATAGGAATATAGGGGGACGAGGTAGGGGAACAGGTAGCTGGGTAGAGGGCTGCGTGAGTGTGTGTTGCAGACAGATCTGGGTCTCGAGGAGATGGACAAACGATGGAGGGGAGGGGAGTAAGGGCGCTGTTCTGTGCTCTCGTCCCCGAGGCTGCTCCTTACTGCAGTGGAAGGGGGCCCGTGCCTCCTCTCTCTTGTTGTTTGGCCTGTCAACGAAGGGCCCCCGTGATGGGCCGTTGCTTCAGCTACCCCAAAACGTTATTAATAGTATCCACACATACATACATACATACATACATACATACATACATACATACATACATACATACATACATACATACATACATACATACATACATACATACATACATACATACATACATACATACATACATACATACATGCCCTAGCTGAGACTTGTGGACTCGCTCTAGCGGGACCTGAGAGCCCTTCGTGGTGTTTTCACTGCAGCGCCATCCCCAGATGGGGTGGCTGCGGAGTGGCTGCGTAGAGTGTTGGCAGTCTGAGTCGGGGTCGGGAGCACGCAAGACTAACCGACTTGTGCTGTGTGCTCCCGACCCTTGCGCTGTGTTTCGGCTTCGGCCCCCGGCTCTCGCGGCCCACAGTGTAATGTAAGTCATACATACATACATACATACATACATACATACATACATAGAGCCCCCCAGTTGCGACTTCGTTTATGTTAGGAGACCAACGGGCATAGATCCCGTCTAGTTGGAGCGCCAAACAAGCGCTGTTGCGTGCCGGCCGTCGTTTCCCGTGCGGCCTGACCCGGGGGCGGAGTGCATGAGACTAACCAGCCGTATGCACCCGCCCCCCGCGCTGTGCTTCGGCCCGGGGCCCCCGGCTTTTCAGCCCACAGTGTAATCAACGTCATACATACATACATACATACATACATACATACATACATACATACATACATACATACATACATACATACATACATACATACATACATACATACATACATACATACATACATACATACATACATACATACATGCCCTAGCTGAGACTTGTGGACTCGCTCTAGCGGGACCTGAGAGCCCTTCGTGGTGTTTTCACTGCAGCGCCATCCCCAGATGGGGTGGCTGCGGAGTGGCTGCGTAGAGTGTTGGCAGTCTGAGTCGGGGTCGGGAGCACGCAAGACTAACCGACTTGTGCTGTGTGCTCCCGACCCTTGCGCTGTGTTTCGGCTTCGGCCCCCGGCTCTCGCGGCCCACAGTGTAATGTAAGTCATACATACATACATACATACATACATACATACATACATACATAGAGCCCCCCAGTTGCGACTTCGTTTATGTTAGGAGACCAACGGGCATAGATCCCGTCTAGTTGGAGCGCCAAACAAGCGCTGTTGCGTGCCGGCCGTCGTTTCCCGTGCGGCCTGACCCGGGGGCGGAGTGCATGAGACTAACCAGCCGTATGCACCCGCCCCCCGCGCTGTGCTTCGGCCCGGGGCCCCCGGCTTTTCAGCCCACAGTGTAATCAACGTCATACATACATACATACATACATACATACATACATACATACATACATACATACATACATACATACATACATACATACATACATACATACATACATACATACATACATACATACATACATACATACATACATACATACATACATACATACATACATACATACATACATACATGCCCTAGCTGAGACTTGTGGACTCGCTCTAGCGGGACCTGAGAGCCCTTCGTGGTGTTTTCACTGCAGCGCCATCCCCAGATGGGGTGGCTGCGGAGTGGCTGCGTAGAGTGTTGGCAGTCTGAGTCGGGGTCGGGAGCACGCAAGACTAACCGACTTGTGCTGTGTGCTCCCGACCCTTGCGCTGTGTTTCGGCTTCGGCCCCCGGCTCTCGCGGCCCACAGTGTAATCTAAGTCATACATACATACATACATACATACATACATACATACATACATAGAGCCCCCCAGTTGCGACTTCGTTTATGTTAGGAGACCAACGGGCATAGATCCCGTCTAGTTGGAGCGCCAAACAAGCGCTGTTGCGTGCCGGCCGTCGTTTCCCGTGCGGCCTGACCCGGGGGCGGAGTGCATGAGACTAACCAGCCGTATGCACCCGCCCCCCGCGCTGTGCTTCGGCCCGGGGCCCCCGGCTTTTCAGCCCACAGTGTAATCAACGTCATACATACATACATACATACATACATACATACATACATACATACATACATACATACATACATACATACATACATACATACATACATACATACATACATACATACATACATACATACATACATACATACATACATACATACATACATACATACATACATACATACATACACTTATACATATACATACATATATACTAAGTTGATGCGCCGTTGATCCGCTAGATTTGGTTGGATGCTGATGGTGAGTTGCCGAACCCAACGAATACATTCTGAAGTCGGATGGGGTGACGGATTAGGGTGCCCCTCTAGCAGGGGAGAGCAGGGACTGCCCGGGAAAGGGGCCGCTGGCGAAGTTAACCACCCTGTAACAACATACATATATACATACATACACACCTCTGCAGGGCGGCAGTGGGCGGGCAGGTGGAGTTCCTCCGTGTGCTGCTGAGCCACGGTGCGGCCATTACCTCCGCACCGCTACCCGCCAACGGCGAGGGTAAGACCCCCCTGGACCTGGCGCTGGATGTGCGCAACCTCCAGTGCGTGGAGCTGCTGCTGGCCAACGAGGTGTCCAGACCGCCACCGCTGAGGCTAGCTGCGATGAAGGTATAAGAGGGGGGGAAAGGAAGGGAGAGGAGTCTGGCGGGAAAATAATAATGTTAGGTAAATATAGGAGAGGGGGAAAGGGGAGAGGGAGGGGAAGGATGACACGGGGGAGGCAATGGGAGCAAGCTGTGTGTCCCTTGCACTGAAGGGAAGCACTGGGCGTGAAACGAAAAGGTGTGCCGCGCGCCGCTGTGCTACCTACATGCCGGGAAAGTCCGCTGTACAACTCTTCCTGCTGTGCTGGCTCGTCGACCCTGTCAGTCCCCGTCGACCCTGTCAGCCCCGGAAGACTCCCTGCGCCCCTGAGTTAATGAGGGGACTGCTGTGGTGTGCATCATGACTATCATGGGACCCATGCAACTCGTCGTTACGTGTAGCTATGACCCACGGGTCACCCCTTGAAGGACGCACGGGTCGTTAGCTTGACGAGGACCCACGGATTTGCTCACAATGACCCACGGGTCGTCCGCGCACACACAGGCCTGGTCTCGTCTGGCTGCGGACATGCCGTCCGTGCTGGTCAAGTTTCTGAATGCAGTGGGGATAGAGGAGCCGACGGACGCGGTGGGCAGCAGCGCCGTCATGGTGCCGGTGCGGGAGGGCACCCACCTCATCACGTGCGGGTCGCAGGTGTGTGTGCTGGGGTGAGGGGGTAAGGTGGTGGGGTTGTGAGGTGGTGGTAAATGTGGGCGTGTGTGAAGACATGCGAGAGGCCGTGGTAGTGGTGGTGGAGTGAAGGTGGTGAACAAACCCTAAACCCTAAGCAACAGAGCTCGGTTGTGTGGTGGAGACGGGGGGGCGCCATTGGAGGGAGGTATGGGTGCGACATGTAAGGGTGCGCATCTAAAACCTCTTAGGGCACTCGAACCATCATCTTGTGTTTGAGACGGTGCAGCATGGTGGAAGTGGCAGCGTTGAGTGGAAGTGGGGGGCATGACATGGTACGACAAGTAATACGACACATGATACGATTGGACACGCCCACGTGTTCCATTCGTATTCTGCTCAGGCCTACGCGGTGAATGAGAAGCTGTGGGAGGAGGTGTTGCTGCGACATGGGGGCGGCGGTGTCAGCGACGAGGAGCTGGAGGAGGTGGAGGAGGGCACGACAGCAGGCGGGGAGATGGAGGCGGTGGAACAGGACCATGCCGGCAATGCTGACCAAGAAAAGGGTGGCAGCCCAGCTACCGTCATTTTTGCCCACGCCGCCGCCGCTGCGGATGGCGCCGCCGCGGTCCGGAGCAGCGGCGGCGGCGGCGGCGGCGGCAGCTCCTCGGGGGGTGCTGGCGGCGGCGTCAAGAAGCGCACGCATCGCCGCGGCGCGCTGTCGTTGACTTGGCGCTGGGCCAAGCACCTCATACGGTGGGTGGCAGTGTGTTTGACGGAGCTGGTGGGGGGGAGGTCTTGTCGGAGCAGGTGCGCTGTTGTTGTATCAGGGAGGGGGATGGAGTGGTGGAACTCCCCGCACACAGTGTTGGTACCTCGCCGTGTCCCCTTGCAGACGTCCATGGCCCCCCCCTGGCTTGTACGGAGACACCCGCACTTGCGTGCGGGACTTGTAACTTGTAACTAGACTTTCCCCATGCTCCTCACCTCGTCCACAACACCGTTCTATCCGCATCTGAACCCGCTCGCTGCTGCCTTCCTGCTGCCCCGCTCCTCCTGCCACATGACGTGACACGTGAATGTGGTACGGCATGGTACGGCACGCGCGTCATGACCTGGCCTATGCTATGTGGGAATCGACTGCAATCGAATCACGTGACATGACGGCGACGTGTGATGTCCTGACGTCTGTGTGTGGCTGTGTGCGTGTGCGGGCGTGCATATGTATGTATGGCCGCCACCGCCGCCGTCGCCGCCACCGTCACCGCCGCCGCCGCCGCCACCGTCACCGTCACCGCCACCACCGCCGCCGCCGTCATCACTGCCGCCGCCGCCACCGTCACCGCCACCGTCACCGTCACTGTCACCGCCACCGTCACCGCCACCGTCACCGCCACCGTCACCGCCACCGTCACCGCCACCGTCACCGCCACCGTCACCGCCACTGTCACCGCCACCGTCACCGCCACCGTCACCGCCACCGTCACCGCCACTGTCACCGTCACCGCCACCGTCACCGCCACCGTCACCGTCACCGCCACCGTCACCGCCACCGTCACCGCCACCGTCACCGCCACCGTCACCGCCACCGTCACCGCCACCGTCACCGCCACTGTCACCGTCACGGCCACCGCCGCCGCCACCGTCGTCACCGCCACTGTCACCGTCACGGCCACCGCCGCCGCCACCGTCGTCACCGCCGCCGCCGCCACCGTCACCCTCACCGCCACCACCGCCGCCGCCGCCACGCAGTCACGAGCCCCCATCGGTTATGCAGCCTGCTGTTCCCGGCGTGTGTGGACTGCCGTACGTGGCACTTACGACTCGATCCATGGCGGAGTCGCCGCTGGGTGCGCTGGTACTCAACAACGTCAGCGACGCCTTCACCACCGATATTGGGTTTGCAATGCTCACTTACAAGTGGGACACTTACGCAGGTGTGAGGTGGTGGCTGGGTGCAGGTCGGGGGGGGGGTGGGGGTCGGGGCAGTGTTTTTTTTTTCGTTTGGGGCCTAATACCCTAGAGTAATAAACTGGGTGTTTCTTGCGGTTACAATTCCTTTTTGTATAGTCGCTGGG